TCTTGAGATGCTTGAAAGTTCCTTTAACAAGAATGACACAGTGTAACTTGTGGTACCTGGATTGCTGGCCAGAGTTCATAAAACGGTCACCTTGCTTCATATTTCATATATAGATACATATAAAATCATAGAGGGTATGGATATGTACACAGGGGTTCATAAGGGGCAGGGAAGCGAGCAGGGCAGGGAAGGAGGGGTCCCTGTCACCTGAAGTTCATAAGGGAAAACCCGGGGTTCATAGAAGCACCAATCATCCATAGTCCATTCATAAAAAGGAAGATTCATTCATTAAAAAAGGAATCCAATTAATAAAACTTGATGTGAAAAGCCTGACAAAGGTCTGGGTTTTAAGGTGACCCAAAAGGAGTCCCAGGCATCAGCAGGCAGCATCTAGGCACCACTCGAGGTGACTCACACAGAGAGGGGAAACACACACACATCAATGTTGAGTGGAACTCCGAGACGCTAAAGGTCTTTGGTATCCACTTGTCCACAGCTGCATGGTATACGGTAGACTCCTGCAGAGGTGAGAGGATCCCTCTTGTCCTTTGCTGAATGTAGCATTTGTTGGATTTTCTTGGTGGGTTTGTAGATTGTTTGTATGTTGTGTTTCCTCATCAGCTTCCCTATGCGGTCAGTGGTTCCCTTGATGTATGGCAGGAACACTTTTCCTCTGGGTGGATCTTCATCTTTACTCTCGTGGTTTGTTCTTGGTCTTGCAGCTCTTCTGATATCTGAGGTGGAGTATCCATTGGCCGTATACCATGCAGCTGTGGACAAGTCTACATAGGGACCACCAAACGCAGCATTGCCCAAACACGCATCAAGGAACATGAAAGGCACTGCAGACTACTTCAACCAGAGAAGTCAGCCATAGCAGAGCACCTGATGAACCAACCTGGACACAGCATATTATTTGAGAACACAGAAATGCTGGACCACGCCAACAACCACCATGTCAGACTACACAGAGAAGCCATTGAAATCCACAAGCATGTGGACAATTTCAACAGAAAGGAAGAGACCATGAAAATGAACAAAATCTGGCTACCAGTATTACAAAACTCTAAAATTACAACAGCAAAACAGCAGAGAGGAAACAACCAGGCATATCTTAACACCTCTCAACAAAAGATTTTCCCAGGCTCGCCAGGCCTTCAAATGCTAATGAAGGTGGTCAGCTGAAACATTCACACCTAGCTCCAGCAGAGAAGAGCTCCTTGCCCCACCCCAGCCATTCCACAGATATATAAACCCATTTTCCTATTTCCAACAGACCTCACTACCTCTGAGGATGCTTGCCATAGATGCAGGCGAAACGTCAGGAGAAATGCCTCTAGAACATGGCTCTATAGCCCGAAAAAACCCACAAGAACCTAGTGATTCCAGCCATGAAAGCCTTCGACAATACATTGGACTCTTGATTTTTTGCATCTCATAGACTTAGCATGGGGATTTGCTTAACCAGTTAAAATTCATGAGTAAACCAGTTTTTTTTTTAAAAAAAAATCTGAAACATTTCGGGGGGGGGTTGAACCCCTAACCCCCCCCCCCCTCGCTACGGGCCTGGTGACGGCCGACAGGGAGCTCTGGTGTGGACTGGTCCATGAAGTCAGGAAGAGTTGGAAACGACTGAACAAATGAACAACAATCTGAAGAAGGAGAGCGTGGGCTGTATTGTGCCCTTTGTCAGCTGCAATTCAGTATTGTTGCTTCGAAAGAAAGACAAAACACACAACAGGTAGAAAGAACATGTTTCCGTCCCTGTTTTATTTCTGCAAAACACTGAAGGGAAAGGGGTTTTTTTGCTTGAGGGTAATGGGTTGTTGTTGTTCATTCGTTCAGTCGTCTCCGACTCTTCGTGACCTCATGGACCAGCCCACGCCAGAGCTCCCTGTCGGCCGTCACCACCCCCAGCTCCTTCAAGGTCAGTCCAGTCACTTCAAGGATGCCATCCATCCATCTTGCCCTTGGTCTGCCCCTCTTCCTTTTGCCTTCCACTTTCCCCGGCATCATTGTCTTCTCTAGGCTTTGCTGTCTCCTCATGATGTGGCCAAAGTACTTCAACTTTGTCTCTAGTATCTCCTTCCCTCCAGTGAGCAGTCGGGCTTTATTTCCTGGAGGATGGACTGGTTGGATCTTCTCGCAGTCCAAGGCACTCTCAGCACTTTCCTCCAACACCACAGCTCGAAAGCATCGATCTTCCTTCGCTCAGCCTTCCCTAAGGTCCAGCTCTCACATCCGTAGGTGACTACAGGGAATACCATGGCTTTGACTAGGCGGATCTTTGTTGCCAGTCTGATGTCTCTACTCTTCACTATTTTATCGAGACTGGACATTGCTCTCCTCCCAAGAAGTAGGCATCTTCTGATTTCCTGGCCACAGTCTGCATCTGCAGTAATCTTTGCGCCTAGAAATACAAAGTCTGTCACGGCCTCCACGTTTTCTCCCTCTATTTCCCAGTTGTCAATCATTCTTGTTGCCATAATCTTGGTTTTTTTGATGTTTAGCTGCAACCCAGCTTTTTGCGCTTTCTTCTTTCACCTTGATTAGAAGGCTCCTCAGCTCCTCCTCGCTTTCGGCCATCAGAGTGGTGTCATCTGCATATCTGAGGTTGTTAATGTTTCTTCCAGCAATTTTCACCCCAGCTTTGCATTCATCAAGCCCTGCACATCGCATGATGTGTTCTGCATACAAGTTAAAAAGGTTGGGTGAGAGTATGCAGCCTTGCCGTACGCCTTTCCCAATCTTGAACCAGTCTGTTGTTCCGTGGTCAGTTCTTACTGTTGCTACTTGGTCCTGTACAGATTCCTCAGGAGAGAGACAAGGTGGCTTGGTATGCCCATCCCACCAAGAACTTGCCACAATTTATTATGATCCACACAGTCAAAGGCTTTAGAATAGTCAATGAAGCAGAAATTGATGTTTTTCTGAAACTCCCTGCCTTTCTCCATTATCCAGCAGATATTGGCAATCTGGTCTCTCGTTCCTCTGCCTTTTCTAAAGGGAAGTATAGTTCACTTACAATCAAAGAGCATTCTGAACTCCACCAATGATGGAATTGAACCAAATATGGCACACAGAACTCCCACGACGAACAGAAAATATATATCAGTGATTGGTTGGGGGGGGGGGGGCGCCAAAATACTGTTTGCTTACCATTGAAAATTACCTAGGGTCGCCTCTGCTGATGCATGAAGTCAGGAAGAGTTGGAAACGACTGAATGAACAACAACAATCTGAAGAGGGAGAGCGTGGGCTGTATTGTGCCTTTTGTCAGCTGCAATTCAGTATTGTTGCTGCGAAAGAAAGACAAACACACAACAGGTAGAAGGAACACTTTTCCGTCCCTGTTTTATTCCTGCAAAACACTGAAGGGAAAGGGGTTATTTTGCTTGAGGGGAATGGGACTATGTCAGTGTTTCTCAACCTGGGGGTCGGGACCCCTAGGGGGGTCGCAAGGGGATGTCAGAGGGGTCGTCAAAGACCATCAGAAAACAGTATTTTCTATTAGTCATGGGAGTCTTGTGTGAGAAGTTTGGCCCAATTCTGTCATTGGTGGGGTTCAGAATGTGCTTTGATTGTAGGTGAACTAAAAATCCCAACAACTACAACTCCCAAATGTCAATGTCTATTTTCCCCAAACTCCACCAGTGTTCACATTTGGGCATATTGAATATTCATGCCAAGTTAGGTCCCGATCCATCATTGTTTGAGTCCACAGTGTTCTCTGGATGTAAGTGAACTACAGCTCCAAAACTCAAGGTCACTGCCCAACCAAATCCTTCCAGTATTTTTTGTTGGTCATGGGAGTTCTGTGTGCCAAGTTTGGCTCAATTCCATCATTGGTGGAGTTGAAAATGCTCTTTGATTGTAGGTGAACTATAAATCCCAACAACTGCAACTCCCAAATGACAAGATATATATTCCCCAAACTCCCCCAGTGTTCACATTTGGGCATATTGAATATTCATGACAAGTTAGGTCCAGATCCATCAATGTTTGAGTCCGCAGTGCTCTCTGGATGTAAGTGAACTACAACTCCAAAACTCAAGGTCACAGACACCAAATCTTTCCAAAATTTTCTGTTGGACATGGGAGTTCTGTGTGCCAAGTTTGGTTCAGTTCCATCATTGGCGGAGTTCAGAATGCTATTTGATTGTAGGTTAACTATAAATCCTAGCAACTACAAATCCCAAATGACAAAATCAACCCCTCCAACCCCGCCAGTAGTCAAATTTGGGCGTATTGGGTATATGTGCCAAGTTTAGTCCAGTGAATGAGAATGCATCCTGCATCTCAGATGTTTACATTACGATTCATTGTTGTTGTTCATTCATTCAGTTGTTTCCGACTCTTCGTGACCTCATGGACCAGCCCACGCCAGAGCCCCCTGTCGGCCGTCACCACCCCCAGCTCCTTCAAGGTCAGTCCAGTCACTTCAAGGATGCCATCCATCCATCTTGCCCTTGGTCGGCCCCTCTTCCTTTTACCTTCCACTTTCCCCAGCATAATTGTCTTCTCTAGGCTTTGCTGTCTCCTCATGATATGGCCAAAGTACTTCAACTTTGTCTCTAGTATCCTTTCCTTCAATGAGCAGTCGGGCTTTATTTCCTGGAGGATGGACTGGTTGGATCTTCTCGCAGTCCAAGGCACTCTCAGAACTTTCCTCCAACACCGCAGCTCAAAAACTGAAGGGAAAGGGGGTTTTTTTGCTTGAGGGGAATGGGACTATGTTATAATTATGATCCCCAACACGTGGCTGGAAAAGTCCCCCGCCCGCCTCCATCTCCTTCCACTGACCCACTTTGCAGCAAGCAAAAGGGGGCGGGCGGCGGAAGGAGAGCAAGAGCGTGGCGCGAGGCGAGGCGGGACTCGTTTCCCTTCCCTCCCCCCCTGAGCCCGCCTCGCCCTGGAGAGGCGCGGAGGGTTACTGCCTGTGAGGCGTCCCCACGAGGCAGGGGGCGTGGCCGCGCGCGCCGCCTTTTACCCGTTCCTCCAGCTTGAGAACTGCGGTAGTCGGAGGAGGCGGGGGTTGGTGCCGGCGGAGGGCGCGCTTTCTCCCTCTCAGCTGCCTCGTCAGCGGTGACGTGTTCATTGTCAGTCCTTCGCGCGCCTTTCTCGCTCCTTCTTCCTCCCGCTCCGCCGCCCTTCTGCGCCCCCATTTCCCTTCCTTCTTTCTTGTCTTTCTTCTTCGCCTCCCCCCTTTTTCTCTGCAGCCCCCCCGGCCCTCGCGACGCCTTGCAAGCGGCAGCCTCCTTTCTTCCCCTGCAGCCTGGACCTTCTCAATATGAGTGCTGTCGTCTGCGGCGAGAGAGACCAGGTAGGAAAGGCCCAAACACCCCTGGTATTGATTTTGGCTGCTTAGCAAGGTCAATCCTTGGATGGGAGACCACCAACGAATCCCAGGGGCTGTTGTAAGCAGTGTTTCAGGGGAAGGGGCTGGCAAAACCTCGCTTCAGGGAAGTGTAGGAAAATCAAGGCGGCGCCATAATAAGGCAACAGGCAGCTGGCATTCATAGAATCATAGAATCAAAGAGTTGGAAGAGACCTCATGAGCCATCCAGTCCAACCACCTGCCAAGAAGCAGGAACATCGCATTCAAATAACCCCCGACAGATGGCCATCCAGCCTCTGTTTAAAAGCTTCCAAAGAAGGAGCCTCCACCACACTCCGGGGCAGAGAGTTCCACTGCTGAACGGCTCTCACAGTCAGGAAGTTCTTCCTCATGTTCATATGGAATCTCCTCTCTTGTAGTTTGAAGCCATTGTTCCGTGTCCTAGTCTCCGAGGAAGCAGAAAACAAGCTTGCTCCCTCCTCCCTGTGGCTTCCTCTCACATATTTATACATGGCTATCATATCTCCTCTCAGCCTTCTCTTCTTCAGGCTAAACATGCCCAGCTCCTTAAGCCGCTCCTCATAGGGCTTGTTCTCCAGACCTTTTATCATTTTAGTCGCCCTCCTCTGGACACATTCCAGCTTGTCAATATCTCTCTTCAATTGTGGGGCCCAAAATTGGACACAATATTCCAGAAGCAGAAAACAAGCTTGCTCCCTCCTCCTTGTGACTTCTCACATATTTATACATGGCTTTCATATCTCCTCTCAGCCTTCTCTTCTTCAGGCTAAACATGCCCAGCTCCTCAAGCAGCTCCTCATAGGGTTTGTTCTCCAGACCCTTGATCAGTTTAGTCGCCCACCTATGATATCACTATGAAATTTGTGGAGTTGCATAAATCAACCCATGGCAACCCCAGGAATTCCAAAAGAAGATGCCTTGAGCTCTAGGGTTGTCGATTTATGGCAACTTCAAAAATTAAATAGTGGTATCTTTGGTGGGAGTGATGTGGGCAGAGTTGACTTTCTTTAAGAAATAATTTCCCTTATAGTTTAGAACAGTAAAATGAAATGTATAGAAAATAAAGATCGAAGGAAAGACGGAAACAATTGACTTTGTTGGGCTGTTACAGGTTTTTTTTTCTAGTCATGTTCTAGAGGCATTCTCTCCTGACGTTTCGCCTGCATCTATGGCAAGCATCCTCAGAGGTAGTGAGGTCTATTGGAACTAGGAAAGTGGGTTTATATATCTGTGGAATGACCAGGGTGGGACAAAGGACTCTTGTCTGTTGGAACTAGGTGTGAATGTTTCAACTGACCACCTTGATTAGCATTTGATGGCCTGGCAGTGCCTGGGACAATCTTTTGTTGAGAGGTGATTAGATGTCCCAGATTTCCTCTCTGTTGTTTTGCTGTTGTAATTTTAGAGTTTTTAAATACTGTTAGCCAGATTTTGTTCATTTTCATGGTTTCCTCCTTTCTGTTGAAATTGTCCATATGCTTGTGGATTTCAATGGCTTCTCTGTGTAGTCTGACATGGTGGTTGTTGACTTTGTGATATTCCTCTACAAGAAGATCAGAAGTATATCGGTGTATGTGTCTGTTTTCATCCTTAACCCTCAAAATTCATACGCTTCTTTCCATGACCAATCCTTACTAACCATCAAACCCAGAAGTTAATGTTTCATTTTACTATTTATTTTTGTCATTGTAAAAAGTGGGTAAGAAGGTCACTCATGTTCTTTCTCTGATCTAACGAGTTGATGATTTATCAATTTCCACCCAAGTTTGTCAATTTCGACAAACACTCAACCACTCATTGGGAATTCTTCCATCTTCATGCATATAACAATTTTGCTGTTGTGAAATACTGAAGTAGTCTTCTAAGGGTAGTTAAGATCAATCTGAGGAGGAAGGTTTAAAAACCCACAAAACTGCAATTATGTGAGGGTGGAAATAGGCAGGGAAGCACAAATAGTGACAGACCTTGCAGGAGTTTTTTGTAGATTAATGTGGTTTCTGTGTGATGTGGTGCTTCACGTAGCTGCGCAATAGCGAGATAAGGGAAGCAAAAGTAGGAGGTTAGTGAATACTGAATTGGGGTCAGTAGTTCGTCATTGTATGTTACTGTTATTCATTGATTTTCCACCTTTCTCCCAACAATGGGACTCAGAGGTATCTAACAACCAAAAAGTGTAAAATTAACAAGTGATTTATAAGTTAGAACATTAAATATTAAAATTAATCAAAACACTGAATACAAAACCCTTCGGCTTTAATGTTTAATTGGAATTCTGTCCTAATGTTTCAGTTCTGATTGTCCTTCTGCCCCGTCATTCTTGCATTTGAGATGCGTAGATGCACAGCATTCTTCTGATCATAAAAAAGAAGACCTTTGTGCGCTGCCCTGCCCACCATAACAGATGGTTGCAGTGGTGGGTGTAACCCAGTTCACTGTTGTTATTGCTTGGCAGTAACAACACTAATTTGTGATGGCAATGAAGGCTGGACAGTCTCTGTGACTTGCTAAAGGTTTTCCTGTGGGAAATGAATAAATTATTTCTGTTAAAAACATATTCAAAGGACTTGTATTTCAGTGCCTTCAAAGCACAGTGATGCTTAAGGTGCTCTAAATGCGGCGCCAGCAAGTAAACAGAACAGTAATTTCTTCTGCGCAATTGAGCAGTGTCAGGTTTGAAATGAAGGGAACAACTTGAAACCAAGGTTTCCAGTGTTTTCAGTGAATCTAAGTTATACAACAGGCAAGAAACTATTTTTCTAAAATGGATTCAAGGGAGCCCAGGCCTATTTCAACAACTTGAAAAACTTACAACATAATCGCCCCATAGTACATACTGTTCTGCATTATAGCCCTCTTTGAAAAAGGTTGGCTTTGTAAAGCTTATGGGAAATCGGAGCATGCTGTTTCATGTTGTGGTGCCAGGGGGGAGGGCACATCTTTGTTCAGAAGGAAAAAGACAATTGGCAGTGATTTAGATGTCAGGGATTGCCAGGAAGCCAAGAAAATAATTATAGAGTGTGAATTGTTCATTCTAATGAGAGTTCAGTGGGTTTTTATTTTTCTGCCTTGTCTTTTGTTCCTTAACCATGTTGCTATATCCTGTTGCCAAGCTCATGAGATTGAAAAGCATCTGCCCCAATATACTTGCTGTGGTTAAAATAGGATTGGCTGGAAGAAAGCCCTGGAGACTAGGACACGGAACAATGACTTCAAATTACAAGAAAGGAGATTCCATCTGAACATTAGGAAGAACTTCCTGACTGTGAGAGCTGTTCAACAGTGGAACTCTCTACCTCTGAGTGTGGTGGAGACTCCTTCTTTGGAGGCTTTTAAACAGGCTGATGGCCATCTGTCAGGGGTGCTTTGAATGCGGTTTTCCTGCTTCTTGGCTGAGGTCTCTTCCAACTCTGATTCTATGAAAAGTGTGGTGGCCAATCCCAAGGTCGTTATGGTGTGTCCCATAGACAGAGAAGGACTGTGTGTATTAGAAAATGACTGCAGTTACACAGTCTGTCAAACATCAAAGATAACAAAACCTGTTTCTTTTGTACAACTATGCATTTATTTTAAACTTGTTTCTTTTTTCATTTTAGTTAGATATGTGGGTAACCTTAAATATATGTGACATTTTAACATTTTAAAACTATTTGAGCTTTATATTTTCTCCATTTGACCTTGGATTGTCAGATATTTTCTGACCTTTTTATTTTGCCTTAAACCCAGTTTCTAGTCCTAGCTAGAAAAAAACCACCTTCAATCAGTTGCTGAGTTGTAAATCCTCAAATCTGAGATAACGGGTTACATAGTGAGATCAGGCTTTAGGTGAAGAGATTGAAGTAGATGACCTTCTTAATCTGTCACTGAAACAGTGATGGAAATAATGTAAAATTTCAAGAGATTGGAATTTGGAAAGCAGTTTCACTTGAAAATAATAAGGAGGGTGGTAATAATATATATTAGGAAATAAAGCTGATGAACACTTTGTTTTACCTGGGATTTGAAGTGTGTCTAGTTAGCAACACTTTACAACTTTATGGGAATTGAAAAACAGCGAAGGAAGAAAGTCAGTATCTTTTTCCAGCCATTTGAAGTTAGCCTTGAAAAGGCTGAGTAGTATAGTTTACAGCAGGCGTCCTCAAAATTTTTAAACAGAGGGCCAGGTCACAGTCCCTCAAACTGTTGGGAGGGCCGGATTATAATTTGAAAAAAAACATGAATGAATTCCTATGCGCATTTCTCATATCTTATTTGTAGTACAAAAACACTTAAAAACAATACAATAATTAAAATGAAGAACAGTTTTAACAAATATAAACTTATTTGTATTTCAGTGGGAATTGTGGACCTGCTTTTGGCTGATGAGATAGGATTATTGTTGTGTGCTTTCAAGTCGTTTCAAGCTTTGGTTGACCCTGAGCGAGGGCTGGGTAAATGACCTTGGGGGGTCATATCTGGCCTCCAGGCCTTAGTTTGGGGAGCCCTGGTTTACAGAGTACAAGCCGTTTAAGGTACATTGAAATTCAGGTTGTATATGTTGTAAGCATTGTGGATGCCTATGTGAGGCCGCCTTGAGTCCCCCTTGTGGGGAGAAGGGCAGGATAGAAATGTATGAAACAAATTTTTAAATTTATACAAACTCGGAAATTATCATATAAAGTGGTCTTTTAACAAAATAAATCAACCTACCGAATATAAATACACATAAACCTGATACAAACAGAAGGCTCAAAACAATTTAAACCCAAATTGAAATGAAATCTTACTACTTAGCACATTTTAGATGGGGATATGGAGTGTGCTTCAGATATTGGACTGCAGTGCCCTCAACACTATCTAGCGTAGCATTCACAGGGAATTGTGCTCAAGAAGAGTCATGTGACCTACCCACCCCCTGCTTTAGATAATGCTGACACATGGAACAACAGCATTCAGTTCTACTCATTAAGGTTCTCACTGATGAAATGTTTTCATGCTTTAAGCTGGGAAGTTTGAGAATGAAAAGATTAGTAAGGAAAATGGATCCCAGAGGACCACTGCATCCAACACGGCATAGCCTCATCCAACGTTGCCCAGTTGTGGTGAACCACAACCAATTATTACCAGATAATCATTGCAGTTCTGGTGATTGCTGACTCAGGATATTGAATTTGCTAAAAACTCCAAGGCTGTCTACTGGGCATATTATCAATTGGTCAACAAGTATGATGTTTCAGTATAGCTGTATACTGGTGTGGATCTATTGGTTCTTTGGGTGACCTTACGGTGAAACTTCATAGTCTTTTGAAAACAGTTGTTATTGTGATATGTTTTCTAGATTCTTTTTTCATTTGTCATGCTGTTAATGTATACTTTTCTTGGATTCTTCCAAAAACAAATTTTCAAAATCTAAATATATTACTATCCCAGTTAAGGATTTGGTATTGCCTGTGTCTTCTGTATCTGATGGTTCTTCCAAAATTATTTGTCCCTTGCAATCGCATCCATTTAAACTGTCCTCCAGTAGCAAACTACTGCATAAATCATAATACAGGACAGCACCTGGATATTTAGGATTTGGTTTTGTCGTTATCTACAATATGGAATTGACAACAGTCAAATGGGGACATAATCTGAAACAATTAAAACTGCCAAACTGTTTAAGGTCAGACTACATAGAGCACATTGTGGTAATTGAACCTGTTTGCAGGGATAGGCAAAGTACAAGCTTGAAACCATGTGTCTCTATTCCATAGCTGCCAACTCCTTCTATTTTGCACTGTTCTAGTGTAGGTCTTTGTTGGGGAAAATCCTTGAATCAACGTTCTTATGATTTATTCTGGGGAGAACTTGGTAAAATTGCCCCTCCATGTCTAGGGAGTATTGAAATACTTTTACTAACAAAAAAAGAAAAAATGAAGATGCATGCCTGCAGTGCTTTGAGGTACTTCTGGAAGCCGGTGTATGCGCCCTTGCACTTGACCACATCTGCTATAGAATAGACTAAGCTTACTTTCTTCAGAAATATGTATGAGGTAAAATGTAAAAATTCAGGTTGTCTGTGGGTCATCATTTGAACATCATGGAAAAGGATCTAATTCTTCCATTCTGACACACAGACACCCATACAGACAAAGAGCTTGTGCTCATCCTTCAGTTCAGAGCTATCATTTCTTTCTCAAGGTCAATATATGAAAACAACAGAGAGATCTCTGTATTGTCCACAGTCTGGTAACATTTAATCTCAAATCTCTGGTGATATACTTAGATGTGGAAAAGTTTGAGGGGGTGTCCCTGCTAAAGTCCACAAAATAGAGTAGGAGGCCCTATTGCTAACCTTTGAAATTGCTCAGTGGAACAGGTGTACAAAATGCACTCCATCCATCTGAGCATCGTAGCCCATATCAAAGCAGCTGAGAGGTTCATCGCCAGTACCAGCCATTCACTGGGCAGTTGTGGGTCCAAAGCCAAGCTGGAAATAAGATTGGAAATAATTGTCCTTGACTCACCTTTTAGAGAGCCTTTCCCTTTCCTGAATATTCTATATAGCATTCTTGTTCTTGCAGAAATCTTTTTCCCATTATTCATGATCTTAAAATTACCCTATTGTTGTTTTTCTCCGCACTTTGGTCAATTGCAAATGACTTGCCCAAATAATAATAGCAATGAACTTTATTTATATTCTGCCTTATCTCCCCAAGGGGACTCAGGATGGTTTCCAACAAGTAACGGCAAATATTCAGTTCCGTAATAACAAAAAAAACCATTGCCATAAAAATTAAATAATGACATTACAAAAATTACATTTCACATCTTACCATTGAAAGACAATACATAGGATTAAAAACTAGTGATAGCATAAAATTTAAAAGCCAACTTAGCCGAAATAACGTGCCATTTCTGTTCTGTAGTGTCTGTGCTAAAAGTTCTATACATCCTCCTCTCTAAATGCTTGAGAGCATAGAAAAGTTTTAACTGATTTTTAAAGGAGAATAAAGAGGGGACCATTTTGATCTCCTTAGGGAGGGTTGCCCTCTCACCAGAGGTGAGAGGGCAACCACGGAGAAGTTTCGCTCTCTTGTTCCCACTAGCCATGCTTGATAGAGGGGTGGGACTGAGTATGGCCCTCTCTGCTGATTGAAGCACCTGGGCAGGCTTATACAAGGAGATGCGGTTAGCCAAATAGTCTGGGCGCAAACCATTTAGGGCTTTAAAGGTAATAACCAGCCCATTGGATTTAGCCTGGAAGCAGACCAGGGGCAAGTGTAGTTGCTGCAACATGGGAGTGGTTCTCCCTGTATGGAGCCCCAATTAGTAATCTGGCTGCCGATCTCTGGGCCAGTTGAAGCTTTGGAACTATCTTCAAAGGCAGCCTCGCGTAGAGCATGTTGCAGTAATTCAGACAGGATATAACTAAGGCATGGACTACTGTGGCCAGATCTGGCGTTTCAAGGTACGAGTGCAGTTGGAGCACAAGCTTTAATTGTGCAAAGGCACCCCTGGCCACCGCCAAAACGTGGGCCTCCAGGGTCAGCAATGAATCCAGGGTCACCCCCAAGCTGCGAACCTGTGTGTTCAGGGGAGTGTTTCGTCATCCAGCACAAGCTGTGTCCCTATACCCCAAATTGTCCTTCTGACTGACCAGGGGCACCTCTGTCTTGTCAGGATTTAATTTCAGTTTATTAGCCCTCATCCAGTCCATTATTGATGACAGGCCCTGGTTCAGGATCAGTACTGCATCCTTGGCTTTTGGTGGAAAAGAGTAATAGAGTTCAGTGTCATCCGCATATATATGACACCAAACTTCAAAACTCTGGATGATCTCACTCAGCAGTTCATGTAGATATTAATATGGGGATAAGAGAGAACCCTGAGGTACCCCACAATTCACAGGCCAGGGAGTCGAACAATGTACGGCCTTCCAGAAAAAAAACAGTGCCTCCTAGCCCCATCTCAGAGAGATAGCCCAGAAGGATACCATGGATACCATGGTCAATTGTATTGACTGCCGCTGAGAAGTCCAGGAGAACCAAGAGGGACACGCTCCCCCTGTCTAGTTCTCTTCGTAGGTTATCTGTCAAAGCAACCAATGCTATCTCAGTTCCATAGCCAGGCCTGATAATCGGTTTCATCCAAGAAACTTTGGAGCTGAGAGGCCATCACCTTCTCCAGAACCTCCCCCCAAAAAGGATATTTGAATTCCATTCTGGTGCTTGTTTTTATTACTTGTGCAACTTAATGTAAGTCAGGTCTGTGTTTTTGACTGATTGTGTAGGATAACAAGGTGTTAGTGCTTGAATAAGGACTTTGAGATATTTATTTTAAACATTTTAAAACATGATTTTAACTTTAGTCCTTCTCTTCGAACTGACCTGTGTTCAAAAGTGTTGGATCAGTAACAATAACAAAAACTGTAACTAAAATGCTGTTGGAGATAACGTTTTGAATTTTAGAACACAGACACAAAATACATATCTTTAGATGAAGTTTGCTACTTTTGGAGTAAACATAATTTGCGTAGAATTGTCTTCTGACAATCTGTTGTGGGCAATCTGTCAATGCTTTAATTGTGCTTTTCCTCCAGGACAGGGGTTTGGACTAGATAGTCCACGTGGTCTCTTTCAACTCTATTATTCTAAGATTCTATGATTTCCATAACTTTAAAACATTAAATATGTTATTTGACACTTTTAAATTCTAGAAGGAAAATATTAGTCCAGCTTTCATTTCTGTTGTGTAAAATTTCTAAATTATTCTAAATTATTTCTAAATATACACCAATCTAAATGTATCTATTTAATATGTGTTTTCAATTGCAGAGTATGATGCATGACTATCACAGAAGAAATTCATGTCTATAGCTTTTAAGGACTTGATTACATCGTTTTGAAGCCTGGTAGTTTTGGAGTCACCAGTTGAGAAGACACAGCTGCATTTTTGAAGTTGCTATTCAACTACAAAGGAATATAAATTGACGTGCTCTGTATCAGCACAAAGAAGGATTTCAGAATATTTAAATTCTATAAATTTGCAGCATAAGCTAATTTGGTAAGCTTTTACACAAATATGCTCTACAATAATTCACTGTGATCTAGATTATACATGTAAATTCTGTAATGCTCAAATGCATAGCTATTGCCTATGTTCTGATACTGTAAAGTGACTATTTTAAAAAGTTGTGAAAACTGGTGAATATGTAATTGTAGCTAGCTCTCAGCAAATAGATCAATATATCTGCACTTGATAAGCTGTTTATCTAGAAACACAGAATTGGAATTCCAACCATGATATACTACATATTGAAATATGACTGTGAAGAAAGGGCTGTTCTCCATCTCTTTGTTTTCCTAACAGTTGCTTTCTTTAGTCCTCATATTCTGTCCTTACAAGCAAGGAGGATGTAGACTAATTCTCCTCCATACTGTGGAAAGAACTTGATATTAAAATGACTTGGTAGTTCTTGTACAGAACAAATACAAAATTAAGCATAAAGCACAAAGAATTGGTTGATCTAAGCTGCACCTTTGGGTCTCCTTGTGGAAAGAAAAAGCAGGATATAAACAAACAGTATTTTTAAATGGCATAATGGAGAGCTGGAGATATGTAGGCAGTTATCACAACACTGTGATAGCTATTTACAGTGTTCTGTTCCACAGTGTTTAAGTTTCACTATTTATAAGAATTCTTACCCCACTGAGATTCTTTTTTCATGTCAGGAGTGAACTGCAAGTCACTTCTAGTATGAGAGAATTGGCTGTCTGCAAGGACTTTGCCCAGGGGGACCCCCGGATATTCTACTCCAATGAGATGAATGCTTGCTGTACACCAAGGTCATAGAGTGCAGCCCTTTTTCTTGTCAAGTGTATCATAATACACATATGTATAGTTGACCAGGACAAAACCCTCTTTATTTGTATCCAGATAAGATGAAGGGATAAATGTGAATATATTGAAAAAAATTGCATTTAGTAATAGTACTGTATGATTGAGGAAGAATGACTGTAGCAGTCCTTTGTCATAGACATGTTCCTGTCTGGACAGATTAAGCCTCAAATTCTCACATTATACTCCAAATTCATGGTAGGTCAATATATTATGATACAGATTAATTTCTATATAACCATATTGGAAAAACTTGGCATAAAACTAGATTTAGAACACTATGCTAGATTTTTATTTTTTGATAAACAAATCTTTAACTATTTAACTTTAAATATCTTGCAGGGTACATTGAAGAAAAAATGCTCTGTAATTCTGTGCATGTTTATTCAAAAAATTTCACTGGAGCTTATTCCCAGCAGCATGCATAGAATTGTAGTTTGAAGAAATCTGTGCTTGAAGAAAATAACAATGTCCTTGACAAACATTTTTCCCACTTTCAGCCACAGACACAGCAAAATGATCCCTAACGGCTATTTGATGTTCGAAGATGAAAACTTTATTGAGTCATCTGTTGCCAAACTAAATGCTTTGCGCAAAAGTGGTCAATTTTGTGATGTTAGACTCCAGGTAAATTTGCAGACTAGCAATTGATTATAGCATTTTGAGTCTGGCAAACTCAGATTTGGTAATAGTTGTGTAAAAATGAGATATTTATTTTTGCGAGTAATTTTAACTTTAAAGTGTGATTATATAAAGTTATTGAACATACGTTTTCATATTTCTATGCATGTATTTAGTGGTGTCTGGACATTACTAGGAAGAGTTATTTTTAATTTGTAAAATTATATGGTTATGATAAATCAAAAGTTAAGTACTATAATGTACCACTGTTATCCTGCTCCCTGAAATTTATCCAGGAGATTTTCAAATCTGATTCAGTCAATACATAAAGTGATTTTTTTAAATTAAAAAATCTACCTGTAGTTCATTTTAGAGGTGTGTAATCTAAGTTTATGCAGGTCAGACAGAAGTATCTGGTCTTGTTTTAATAAAGGTGTGTGGACACGAGATGCTGGCACACAGAGCAGTACTAGCTTGCTGCAGTCCTTACCTGTTCGAAATCTTCAACAGTGACAGTGATTCTCATGGAGTTTCCCATGTAAAGTTTGATGATCTTAACCCTGAAGCTGTCGAGGTTTTGTTAAATTATGCCTACACTGCTCAGTAAGTGATTTTGAAATTTTGATCACATTTAGTAGACAATATATCTTAATGATTTCTCCAGAAAAAATCCTAAACACAATGTAACTTTAATAGATTGAAGGCTGATAAAGAATTGGTCAAAGATGTATACTCAGCAGCAAAGAAACTGAAGATGGAGAGAGTCAAACAGGTACAAATTTTCAATACTATAAAGTGTGGTTAGCTTGATTTGTGTAGTTTGGGGAAGGGCTGCATTTAGCATGAAGAAGCACCTAAAATTTCTGAATAGACCTGTTTTGTGTTTGAGGGTGGATAACGTATTATATACTTGGGCTATACCTTTCTATTTCATTTCATTTCATTTATATATTACAATTGGCAGTGATCACAACCCAGAGTCCTTTTGTTTTCAGTAGTTGTTGGTCCATTCAATAAATTTCAGAACTCTGTTGGGCTATTTTACCCAACATTTTTTTAGTAATTAAACAGTTAAAGCTTTGTGATGACCTAGACAAATATAATGTATGTGACTGGGGAAACTGTAAATGATTACATTGTTTCTAATTGGAGAAGATAATATATTTGCATTTAGGGATTTTTTAAATCTGTGTATTTACATGTTGTAGAAAATCAACTGACAGAGAACTGGGGATATTTCAAGGATCAACAAAATGTGCATGACAATATACTTTCCCAGTAAAGAAACACTAAATCTGTTCATCAGCAAAATTGAATGTATACCTAGCAATATTCAGTCTTGATTTCAAAACAATGAGTTGATGGCTTCTTTGTCTGGTGAAAATGATATTATTGTCACCTCTCTTATACATATATATGAGAGAAGTAGTTCCTCATTTCTCTGATGGTTTTAATAACATTTACACTATTAACTAAAGACTCCTCGGAGAAGCAGACAACTACAGGTTGATCATCCCTTATCCAAAATGCTTGGGACCAGAATGTTTTCATATATCTTATTCAATGTTGAAGATGGCAAAGAAATATAAACACAAAATTCAATTATTTATCCTATATACCTTTACTTATAGCCTGAAGGTAATTTTATATACAATATTTTATTAATTTTCTGCAAAAAAACACATTTTGTGTATATTAAACCATCAGGAAATAAATATGTCACTATCTCTTATCCATTCGTGTGGACAGTTTTAGATTTTGGATTATTTCGGATTTCAGAAATCTGGATAAGGGAAGCTAAATTTGTATTCTACATGTCCCAAATCAGTATAAGCAAGATACTACAAAGGCAAGGAAACATGTAAATGTGTAAAATTAATCTGCTGACTTTAGTGCAGTGGCAGATTGGTGAACTGTAGAATTTATATATTAAAAAGTTCTAGAACATTACTAATCTAAACTATAGTAGACAGATGGAATAAATACAAATTTGGTAAGTCAGTACTTAAGTTCTGTTGATTTCATGGGCCTGGTTGAGACTAAAATAATACTTAAGCCAAGTATTTAAGAGGACTAAGGTTTTAGTAACGTAATATTATTTTTTATACATGTAAAAGGTTTGTGGAGATTATTTGCTCTCCAAAATGAATGTTGAAAGCTGCATCTCCTATCGAAATTTTGCGAGCAACATGGGGGATTCACGTTTATTGAACAAGATTGATGGTTACATTCAGGAGCATTTGTTAGAGATTTCTGACCAGGAGGAATTTCTCAAACTGCCACGTTTAAAGGTAAGTTATTCTCCATTGTATTTTGAAGTTTGCATTACCAGGGAATGTGAAACTGTCAGCGTTAGCAGAGTATAGCAGAAGCTTTTGAAGCTCAGAATAATGGACTCTCGAGTCTCCGGTAAAAGCAGGTATTCAGCTTTACTGAAGCAGCTCAAAACATACACCATAAACGAACAGCAGACAGAGACGAAGAACAAACCGAAAGAGATAGAAACTAACAAACTGTAGCTGAAGGGAGTTAACCTTGTTACACTCCCTAATCTCTCAAGGCTAGAACTCAGGGTCACATCTTCACAGCTTCTTACCTCTGCTGTTTAACCCTTCTGAGTACAAAATACATTCTGGCAATATAATTCTATTCCAATCATAATCCTATTACATAAAATTACATTTAAACACATATCATACATAAACCATACACTGACAGAAACTTCTACAGAAAGATAGGAAAATGGAAGTCACATGTATTTTAGGAAAGCTACTTTAAATAAGTAGCTGGTGGAAGTTAAGCATGACATGATTTGCAAGTGAAGAAAATACCTTTATTTACCCTATATGCTTATGTATAAATCTTGAAATTTTCATCAAAAATCAGCCCCAAAAACCTGGGTAGATTTGTGAGTCAATGTGAGTAATGTACCCTAACTCTTATAAAAACGAACTATTCTCAGTGGAATAAGCGCTTAATCTGTCCCAGAAGAGGCTAAAAGAAACACTGAGCACTTGTGGTGACACTTCTGGCTTGTTTGAATACTTGGGTAGGAAATTTTGGTGGTGGGGGCCAGAAGTGCCTGGGCCTCCTGAAGCGACATTAGTGATTTCCTCTTTTCTACAAAATGACTCTCAACTTATCCACAGATCACATGAAAATTCATAATTTTGGCCCCAAATCCTGCCCTTGATTTATAAATATACAGTAGATCTTTTCTTTCCAGTAAAACAATATCTGTATGCATAGCATCGGAATAGGTATGCCAAGGTAAAGCACAAACACCTATTCTGAATAAGCAGAGTGGAGCCCTCCAGGTGGATATTTACTTAACTCTCAGAAGCATTGACTTCGCCTGTTCTGGCTAGAGCTTCTGGGAGTTGGATCTGTAGCGCCACACTTTGCCCTTATCTGGCCTACAAAAATTATCTGTTGGGTTTATTTTAAATACAAAAATCACCAAGATATGCATCATTATTAGTGATAGAAGTATAACAGGAGAATAATTATGAATCATAATCTGTGGTAAGAATAGAAACAGAATATAACTACCACTATGTATGGTCAGCAAATTTTGTACCTTCAAAAGTAAGACCTTAGAAATTATACCCTTCCCTTCTCTTGGTGTCAACATTGGCAAACTGTACCAATTCAGGGAGTTTTTCCTCCATATCTCAGGCAAACTGCCTATGATTTTGACGCTAGCTGAAATTGGAAACAGATCTCCTAAGGAGAAGTGTCTTTGGTATATTTATGGTTTATTTAGTTTCTAAACTATAAAGACATAAGCAGTGTCTGCTGTATTTCCATGTTTGTATTAATTGTTAATGGGGCAGTATACTAACGTCATTAGAGAAATGAGTTTGAAAATATATGTGGAAACCATTTAGTTAGTACTATTTAGTATATTTACTTACATTTAGTTACATTTAGTACATTTAGTTAGTACTATTTAGTACATTTAGGTACATTTAGTACATTTAGTTAGTACTGTTCTGGTTTCATCTTGATTTCAAGGTTTGATTTGTTTGGGAATACGTATTTTATGTGTTGAGGAAAGAAGAATTGATGTTATTCTTATGAACTATAACAATTGTCTTTTGAAAATCGGAATTACTGCTACTCGCATATTTTGGTTTGTGGGCAAATAATTGTGGGGAGACTTCTAGTTGTTTGGTTTTCATGTGTTAAGTAGCATCAGGATTTTTTAGCTAGCCCTCTGGCTAACAGCACAGTAGTGAAAAGGTTATCTATTGTTACAGCTGATCTGGAATCAGGAAATGTGATGTTATTTTATCTGTTGTTGAAACTAGTTTATGCTTCTAGGAAAGCCTTAAACATTTGGCCCAGAATTCTACTGATGAATATACCATATCTACTCAAATCTAATGCTCACAATTTTTTTGGCATCTGGAGCTCCTAATTTGAGGGATGTCACCCCTAATGTAATTACCATGGCCCAGTGCTATGCAATCCTGGAATTTGTAGTTTAGTGAAGCATCAGCATTATTTGGCAGAGAAAGCTAAAGACCTTGCAAATCTACATGATTTCATAATAGTGAGCCAGGGCAGTTAAAATGGTTTCATAGCTGCATCCCAAGGTTTCCTTTTCTGTTTCTGGAAGCTTTGGTGTTCTAACACTTTTGTTTTTGAAGAAGGAATTCTAAGCAGGCAGTAGCTGTAATACCCATCCTTTTTTGGCCAAATTACAAAGAGTGCACTTTTTGTCGCTGTGCATTACATTCACCAGCAATTTTTTGTTGTTTCAGGGTTTTGCAATAATAATAATAATAATAACTATTATTATTTATTTATATAACACTCTATCTCCCCTAGGGGACTCAGGGTGGTTTCCTCAGACAAATATGAAACATACAGAGTAGCCATTAAAATATAAACATTCCCTGTTAACAAAATCCTATGCATTAAAACAAACCAATTCCATAAACCATCATGCAAGATAAATTACCAAACACCCCATTTATATGTAAGCCAGGACAGGTTGAAAGGGCTGGTCAGGATTCCCATGGAAATAATGAACAACAGGGAATGGGTAGAGTGCCAGGAGTGGACCTGATATCTGACCAGGGCAGGGCCTGGGGCTACTTTTTCCAGGGCCTTCTGGCAATTTTGAAGAGGAAGATCTAAGTCAGAAACCAGTGTTACAACGTGGAGGAACGAGGGAACGGACAAGGGCCTTAACTAGAGACCAGGGGCATAGGGCCTGGGACCCGTCCTTATCAAAGATCTGGTGAAACCAAGTCCTTCTGAAAAGAGGAGAGTGATGGGGCCTGACTTAGTTCCCTAGGGAGGGCGTTCCACCACCGAGAAAGCCCTAGTCCCCACCAACCATGCTTGAGACGGTGGTGGGAGCGAGAGGAGGGCCTCCCCGGTAGATTTAGATTTCATACTGATTCATAGGGAGATATGCGTTCATGGAGATAGACGGGGCCCAAACCGTATAGGGCTTTATAGATCATAACCTGCACCTTGAATTGGGCCCGGCAACTAATCGGCAGCCAGTTAAGTTGTTTTAGTAGGGGTGTTGTGCGCTCCCTATAATTAGCTCTGGTTAGGAGCCAGGCTACCGCCCATTCTACTAATTGGAACTTCCGGGCCGTCTTCAAAGGCAGCCCTACGCAGAGTGCATTGCAATAGTCCAATCTGGATGTACCCATTTACATTCATTGCTTAGCAAAGTGAGGGGTGGTCTCCACAACACTGCCCTGAAATGTAGCAGTTTCTTTTTACTCAGTTCTTGTGGGTTTTTTCGGGCTATATGGCCATGTTCTAGAGGCATTTCTCCTGACGTTTCGCCTGCATCTATGGCAAGCATCCTCAGAGGTGACCTCACCTCTGAGGATGCTTGCTATAAAGGCTATGCAGATGGCAATATGATCAATCCCACCATCTGACACCAAATTATAAAGGCACGTCGTGTGGCCAAACAATATAACTGGACAGGGGGCAAACAGATCCCACCACTGTCCCTCCAATATAAAGGATTTACACCACTCTATAAAGACTTCACTGGCACCTATATAACGTCTGAGGAGATGACTCTCTATTTAACTTCCGCTGCCACCATAACTAAATGTACAGGAACCCTCTAGCTGGTTAAAGTAGTAGAAAGGCTTTTTAGAACACCAAGTACTGTGTCTTTTAAATGGCTTCTCTGAAGGAAAACAGGTGAGGTTGATTTAAAAGGAAAAGGGACTAAATCCACAAATGTACACTTGACTCAGGCTTACGGCGACTCAAGGTGGCTCAAAGAATTGGCAGATTTGATGCCATACATTCATAAAAATACAGTTAAAAAACATTCAGCACAACATTGTAAAAAAGCATATATAAATCATTTAACAGGACGGTGTTGTCCTGTTAAAATCATTCTCCAGCAGCATAGTCCAGCCATTCTGTGTTCATTCTTCCTACGTCATCATTCCTATTCCGCTGCGTTTACAAATGCTTGTTCAAAAAGCCAAGTTTTTACTCTTTTTTTCTGAAGATTAGGAGGGAGGGGGCCGATCTAATATCCCTAGGGAAGGGGTTCCACAGCCCGCCCCTCCTGTTTCAGTTTCTGGATAAGTACTACTGTTGGACTCCTAGAATCATAGAATCAGTGTAGTTCAACCTTTCTTTCTTTTTTCTTTCTTTTTTTTTTTGAAATATTTTTTATTTTATTGAGATAGTATAGAATACATGGAAAGAGGGTGAATATTTTCAAGAAGATAGGAAAGTAGGAAATTGTATTAAAAAAATAAAAAATACAAAAAATAGTAAAAAAAATAAAAATTCAGGTCCCAAAAAGAAAAAAGGACCCTAAAAAAGGAAAAAGAAAAGTTCAACCTTTCTAATACCGTGACCCCTTAATACAGTTCCTCATGTTGTGGTGACCCCCAACCATAACATTATTTTTGTTGCTACTTCATAACTGTAATTTTGCTACTATTATGAATCATCATGTAAATATCTGATATGCAGGATGCATTTTCATTTACTGGACCAAATTTGGCACAAATATCCAATACTCCAATCCAGTGGGGTTGGGGGGGGGGGGTAGATTTTGTCATTTGGGAGTTGTAGTTGCTAGGATTGATAGTTTTCCTATAATCAGAGAGCATTCCGAATTCTACCAACGATGGAATCGAACCAAACTTGGAACACAGAACTCCCATAACCAACAGAAAATTCTGGAAGGGTTTGGTGGGCATTGACTTTGAGTTGTAGTTCACCTACATCCAAAAAGCACTATGGACTCAAACAATGATGGATCTGGACCAAACGTGGCACAAATACTCAATATGCCCAAATGTGGAAACTGGTGGAGTTTTGGGGAAATAGACCTTGACATTTGGGACTTGTAGTTGCTGGGATTTGTAGTTTTCTGAACCCCACCGACGATAGAATTGGGCTTAACTTCCCACACAGAAAATGCTGTGCTTTCTGTTGGTCTTTGGCGACCCCTCTGACACCCCCTCACGACACCCCCCAGGGGTCCCGACCCCCAGGCTGAGAAACACTGGTGTAGTTTCTTCAATTCTAAGACACACTTTTTCCCTCTATATAAAGATCTCTAAAAATGGAGTGCATCTTAAAATTGCAAGTGTATCTTGTTTATTTTTGGTGGTGGTGATAGTAAAATTAAGGTGTAAGTAACAATGGAAGAAATGCTGTAATGTATATATACTCTGAAGTGTAGTAACCACTATATTCTCTGTTTTTAATCCTAGCTGGAGGTCATGCTTGAAGAAAATGTTAGCTTGCCCAGCAATGGCAAACTGTACACAAAGGTAATCAACTGGGTACAGCGCAGCATCTGGGAGAATGGAGACAGTCTAGAAGAACTGATGGAAGAGGTTAGTTTTAAGAAAATGAGATTTGGCCAGTTGTAAACATCACATTGTTTTCAAATTAAGGATGATTCCTTTTCCTTTTTTCTTAAAAAAAATTATGAAGAATTCAAATTTTACTGTAGGTGTCCCTAAGCTGAGAAACTAGGGGGCTCCAGGTGAGCTGCATAAACTGTTCATTCTGGTTTTCTATTTCTTCCTTAAAAAAAAAACACTTTATAACTTTGGAGCACACAATTTCACTTTTAAAGTGGGGAGGTGGTTTTAAAACTCACTTTATACTTTTAATGTGTTCCTTTACAGGGATTTGCTTAAAGAAAGACCTAGTAGGTAAAAGGTTCTAATGGTTGTTCCTCCCCATTGATTTATCTCCCCATAGGTTTATTAACAAAACTAGGATACCCAACGCTGAAGAACCATAGAAGAAACCTCAAGTGTAAGAAGCAGCAGTCCTGCCCCAGTTCTCCTAAGAAAATCCGCTGTGGGCAGAGAACGATGATGATGTTTAATGGTGTTTACTTCTTTACAGGATATCTTCACTTTTGAAAAGTTTTGTATAATGAAATACCCTTGCTTATAAACACAACTTCTATCGTTAGTGTGATCTAAAATCTGAAATGTCAACATCTCAACCATTTCAGTATAGATATTATATTTGAAATTGTTTCAAGCATCTTATCTATCATGGGCAAGATTGATAACACTGTAACACGATTCTTGTTCCTTGATTATACAGGGTGAGGCAGCATAACTCCTTTTTTCAAAACTTAATAAAACCCATTGTATGAATCAGATTTTTTTTGAAAAGTAGGCGCATACCTAAAGTTTTGTTTTACATAGTTTTGAAGATCAAATTAGGTAGGCGACGTCCCCCATTCTCCATACACTGAGTAAACCGATTTCTGGCGTTTGTCATGACTCTTGCCAGCAAAGCAGGCGTTACGTTGGCAATTTCTTCCTGGATGTTGGTCTTCAAATCTTGTAGGGTCCTGGATGTTGGTCTTTAAATCTTGTAGGGTTCATAGAAACACGGGATTTCAAAAAACCCTATAGAAAAAATCACAAGGGGCCAAATCTGGAGAGTGGGCCGGCCACTCCAAATCCTCTCGAAAAGTAGGCCTCAATGGCAAAAGCACGCTCCTCACTGTTCCAACGCATGATGGCAACTGAACTGTGTCAGGACAAAACTATATTTTCGCCTCTCGAAAGAGACCACTAGCGCTGCGCTACGTCTTTAACTGACTGAATGGCGCGCATTTTTAAAAAGGAAGTTATGCTGCCTCACCCTGTAAATGTCATTTCCTAATTGGTTCTGTCATAAAAACATGGAAAAGGTTTATTAAACTGCAAAAACTTGTTTTTTGTGTGACACCCTGCAGCGCATTTTGTTAAGAGTTTTTCAATTAATATCTCATCAAATCTCAACTGATTCAACATAATTTGTTGCAGCCACATAAAGGAAGTTTCTGGAGTATAGCAACTATTTTCTAAGTACGTACCACGCAATTAAACAGGAATGACACTTTCAAACAAGGAACAGAATTTTGTTACATAGTGTAATGAAGTCAATCTAAAATATTTTGTTGCCCATCCAGTAACTTGCTCAGAACCTTATGTCAACTGGTAAGGTTTCTCTTGCAGTTATGATGCATTTCCTATGATGCCCAGTAATGAGCAGTAGCCTTCCAGAGTTCAAAAATAGTTTGAATTTTTTATACTTTCATATCACTTTTAATAATCCACTTGTGTCTGATTTATGTGCTTGACTTAAAAACTGGACATAGAAAAATGTACTTTGTAATAAGCTTGTTTGTAGGAAACAACAAACATTCCTGGTTGAAACTGTTAACCTGAATAACTGAAACCTGCAAGAGAATGTACCCCATTATGTGTTAAACATCTTAAAGTTACGTCTCAGGGAATGCAGAAGTCCAGGAAATTGAAGATGTATTTTGTTTGTTTTTTGTTTTGTTTTTGAGCTGTGAAACTTGAAATCCTCAATCCAGTGACTGAAGATCTGTCAACATGAGACCAACTTATTTTTTATTTTGCCATTCTGCTAGACAGAGAGAAGAGAACTTGAACTGTGGAGACCTTATGGAGTTGGTGTACAGTGTACCAATAGTTCAATAGCAGTGGAGATTGTAGCCACATGGCTGTTCTGTTGTTTTTGCAGGTTCAAACGCTGTACTACTCAGCTGATCACAAGCTCCTTGATGGAAATCTGCTAGATGGACAGGCTGAGGTGTATGGCAGTGATGATGACCACATTCAGTTTGTGCAGGTACAAAGTGCACATGGTCTGAGGTAACCTCAGGTAAAACTTGGCTAGAGTAGTAGTAGCATGGCACAACTACAATGTTGTGCTTTGTGGCGAAAGGGGGAAAACCCAATTTCAGATGATGGGGAAATAGCTCTATCAGGTAGGTTGTGTGGTCTTGGTTAATTAGTTTTGTTTTTTGGGTTTTGTTTTGTTTTGTTTTTTTTTGCAGTATTTCAACTAAATGAGTGTGTGTTTGGTGCATGGGTATATTTAGACCAGTGCAGGGTTCATTTTTGGACTAAAGTAAGCTTATGGGATGTTGGCTTGTTATGTGTGTATGTGTGCATGCAACAAGAATGGGTGTATATGTGGATGCATGCATTGAAAGAAATTTGGGAAACCATGGCAAAATAAGCTGCCTTTCCCAAGGGCTTGTGGACAAAAATAGAGGCAGATAAGAAGCTTCAGGAGTGTAGACTAGGAGTAGCATCATAAACTTACATAAACTTAGATTTTTTTTGTTAATTAGCTATCACTTGACAGCACATGCTTATCCATGTCTGAATTGATGTTAATCACTGGAGCTTGTAGGTTTGTGTGCATAAGATTGCAGCCTGATGAGATTAAAAAAAGAGGAAAGAACACTTCATTATTTTTGTAAAAAACCATCAGACATACACCCAGTATTCGGAAGATGTTGTTAAATTCATCTGTTCACATGCAAATGAAACTCAAGGTGAAAATTAACATTTCAAGGATGAGCATGATTTCTCACCCTTTCATTTATGTGTTTTAAGTGCTAAAGAAACTACCTATATTGGAAATTGTGCTTTTATAATTAATTTAAATAGAAGATATCAATAACTGCATCAAATAAGGGACTTGTTATTTTGAACCAGCAGTCTTTAACATGTTATCGGATAAGATTCTATTCAATTTGCCATTTTATGGCTAAACATTTTAGGGGGAAGGTCAAGGGGGCTCGTGGTCTGCCAAAGGGGAAAGCATGAAAGGTACTTAAACACTCAGAGGTTGCTTACCTTTTCAACAGGAAAAGGAGTTTATAAACAATATTAAAAACAAGCTTCTGAGCTAATTAGAGGTGGAAGAGAAAGCCATGTTCATTGAAAAAATAAATAAAAAGACTTACAAGAGAGGAAATGCTGCAAATGAACCTAGTATTCAGTTAACCCCCAAGTTAATGGTTGTGTATGACATGTCCCATAGATTATTGGACAAATACTACGTCTGAGGATGCTTGCCATAGATGCAGACGAAATGTCAGGAGAGAAGAGTTTATATTACTGTATATTCTGGTGTATAAGACTACTTTTTAACCCAAGAAAATCTTCTCAAAAGTCAGGGGTCGTCTTATACGCAGAAGTCGTCTTATTGAACGGGTGCTGAAACTTCCAATTGGATTGGAGAATCTGTGGTTGCCACATATGGTGGGGGGAGTTCAAAAATGGCAATGGCTGCAAGCTGCAGGCGCCCGGGGTATGGAAAAAAGAGATAGAGTGGCTCTGGGCCCAGAAAAACACAACTCTCTTACCTGTCTGGCCCGCCCTTGTATCCTATTATTGTACCTCCTCCTCTGCCTCTCAGATCTGGCTCCTGAAGACTGCAGTCTTCAGGAGCAGGTGCAGGTGCGCATGTGTGAGATCTGAGAGGCAGAGAAGGAGGTACAGTAATAGGAAAATTACCATATTGAAATCAAATCTGATGCTTTTAAATTTTTTATTTGGTGTGCGTTGGAAGAGGGGTAGTCTTATACGGTGAATATATCCCAAACTCTATATTTTAACTGGAAAAGTTGGGGGTCATCTTATATGCCGGACTATACAGTACGTATAATTTATAAACCAACCCTTACCAAAATTTAAATAATATATATAATGCCTCAAAGCAGCTAACTGAAAATTGCATTAAAAACAAGAGCAGTAGCAAATATGGCTGGTATTTATATTGAGATGATTGTCTGTAAATGAAAATGAAATAGCTCAGATGCATGCCTGGTGTCAGTTGGAAAACAAATTGAGAAAAAATGGGAATCTATCCTTGTGATTTCTAAAAAGACTACCAAGAGAGTTTCTATTTCTAGAATGTGAAAAATAGTTCAGGAATTGCATTTGTTCTAACCAGAATATGAAGTATTAATTATGCAGCTTGATAGTTGATAGAATATAGTATCTGGAATTCATATTACAAATCTTCAGAGATTTTGTTTGTAGACTTTATCAGCCTTGAAACTAATGTAGGACACCCTAGTTTTTGTAATTGGAACAGATGTGATGATTTGGTTCTTTCTCCACTGAAAAGCCTATCTTGTATGTAGTTGAGTCACTCAGTTAATTCAGAAGTGACAGGCATGTGTCAAATGTTGGGAAGAAATCCTTGTTTGTGAAGAGTGTTGTGTTAAACGTTTTCATCTTGCTTAAATGTTGATTCATGAAGTTTCTTGGTAGAAATTCTTATAACTGAGGCTGCACAACCACGAAAAAAGATAGCTCTGAAACAAAGGCAGATCAGAGTGTGGCACTGGCTAGGTTTCTGTAGCTGCCTTTTGATTTTGCAGAAAAAGCCACCCCGTGAGAACGATCTCAAGCAGTTAAGTAGCAGTTCTTCGGGAAGTCTTTCTCCAAATGCAGCAGTGCTGACTCCTAAACACGAGTGGAAAATTGTTGCTTCAGAGAAGACCTCAAGTAAGCTGAATTTTATTTCTAAATCATGTGCACCCATGTCAAACACAGACATTAGGAAGAAAAGAGCAGCAATGGGCCTTTTGTGAGAGATTGTTCATAAGTACAGCTTAAATGGAGGAAGGGGATTCATTGGCTTTACAGTTTCTTCTTAGCCCATCTAGAACAAGGGTGCAGCTTTATAGTAAAAAAAAATCATGTTCAAATTTCAGAATTAAATCGACTCTCTTCCTCCCCAGGTAATACCTACCTGTGTCTTGCTGTTCTGGATGGCGTTTTTTGTGTGATTTTCCTTCATGGGCGTAATAGTCCTCAAAGTTCTCCAACCAGCACTCCACGATTGATGAAAAGTTTAAGTTTTGAGATTCAGCCCGGTGACCTTGTAGAAAAGACCATGTCTCCTATGCAGTATGCTCGGTCTGGATTGGGAACAGCAGAGCTTAACGGCAAACTGATAGCTGCAGGTAAAAATGCCACTAGTGTGTTTAACCACATAGATAGGGCTATACTAGCAAAGTTTTGTGGACAGCGAGATTCCACTACCAGGTAATGCATCTTGTGCACTTTCTGTTACTACCAGGTGGTTATAACAGAGAAGAATGCTTGCGCACTGTAGAATGCTACGATCCCCGGAAAGATTGCTGGTCTTTTATCGCACCAATGCGGACACCAAGGGCTCGGTTCCAGATGGCAGTTCTAATGGTAAGAGAGCTGTGCATCTGCCCTACAAGGTTAAAGCTCTCAGTTACATGCCAATTCCCGTTTGTAGCAATTGCAATGTTCATATTTAGTTGGGACAGGGCATGATTCTAATAACTGAAAATACTTGGCATGCAGTAAGAGTCAGAGATTCATAGCAACTGTATGCCCTTATTCTTGAGAAATTTTGTGATTTAAAAAGTATTTGCTGCTATAGCATGCAGTATTTTACCGACAGCATTTAGTGGATCATTCTTTTAATATTACTGCATTTTGTGCAAACATAGGGGCAGCTGTATGTTGTTGGTGGCTCAAATGGCCACTCGGATGACTTGAGCTGTGGGGAAATGTATGATCCAGAGATAGATGACTGGACTCCTGTCCCAGAACTGAGGACTAACCGTTGCAATGCAGGTAAAAATGGTATAATGATATATAAAGACTATTCCTTTTTTCCTGCTCAAGCAGTCTGTTAACTCTCCCCCCCCCCCCTTTAAATATATGAACAGGTGTATGCGCCTTGAATGGCAAGCTGTACATCGTTGGTGGCTCAGATCCGTATGGCCAGAAAGGATTGAAAAACTGTGATGTCTTTGATCCTGTAACAAAATCTTGGACAAACTGTGCTTCACTTAACATCCGTAAGTCTATAATGCATTGATCAAGTTTGGGTGGCCTTGGACCAAAAAAGAAATTGAGCTGTCTTGAATAGAAAAGTAATCTTGGGAGGCCCTACTGTAGCAGGATGTGTAACACAGTATCCTGTAGTTATTTTGATCTGGAATTCAATGAAGGTCCAGTCAGTATGGTCCAATTGTCAATGGTTGGATATGTTACTCAAAAATCTGGAAGGCACCAGAATGCTTATTCCATGCCACATTGTTCTGTGAGAAGAGGTAAAGAGTTGTTACTGTTTTGAAATAGAATATACTGGGAATTGCAGGGTGAGGCAGCATAACTTTTTTTCAAAACTTAATAAAACCCATTGTATGAATCAGATTTTTTTTATTTTTTAATAATGTAGGCGCATAACTAAAGTTTTGTTTTGCGTAGTTTTGAAGATCAAATTAGGTAGGTGACGCATTCTCCATTCACTGAGTAAAGCGATTTCTAGCATTTGTCATGACACTTGCCAGCATAGCAGGCGTTACGTTGGCAATTTCTTCCTGGATGTTGGTCTTCAAATCTTGTAGGGTCCTTGGATGGTTCACACACAAACACAGGATTTCAAAAAAACCCATAGAAAAAAATCACAAGGGGCCAAATCTGGAGAGCGGGCCGGCCACTCCAAATCCGCTCGGAAAGTAGGCCTCAACGGCAAAAGCACGCTCCTCACTGTTCCAACGCATGATGGCGACTGAACTGTGTCAGGACAAAACTTTATACTCCCGCCTCTCGAACGAGACCACTAGCGTTCCTCTACGTCTTCAACCGACTGAATGGTGCACATTTTTTTAAAGGAAGTTATGCTGCCTCACCCTGTATTTCTTGGTCTCTTGTTATAAACTTCATCCATTGGTGCTGAGGGAGCAAAAGTATGCAACCTAGTTTTGTAGGATCCATGAATCACTTGAGTTCTTTTGAATCAGTGTTACTGTTAACCAGCTATAATGTGCTACTACACTTTTAAGAGCTTTTGCCTTTCATCAAATGTTGACTCTTAATACAGCCAGATCAGCTTGATAGGGCTACCTATTCAATCTTCTTTTGGTTTTTAATTTATAGGTAGACATCAGTCGGGTGTATGTGAGCTGGATGGATATTTATATATTATTGGAGGGGCTGAATCCTGGAACTGCCTTAATAGTGTAGAGCGTTACAATTCAGAGAATAATACTTGGACACTAATTGCCCCTATGAATGTGGCTCGGCGTGGAGCTGGTGTGGCTGTACTCAATGGTAAGTTTATAGGAACTGAAAACTGAGTTTGAAGACAAAACTAACTAATGAGACTGTTACAGGTAGAACTGAAACATTTTGGAATTAAGCCACTGGATATTTTTATCATCTTCCAAGCAGATGCTTTATGTTATCTGTTTTCCAGACCAGAATGCTCAACTGCTTTTTAACAGCATGGTATGAATTTGCAGAACTTGACAAAATTTTATGATTTCTTGTTGCTGACAGATTACTGCCCCTACTCTTTAGGGATTCCTCTCAGATCATGTCTTTTGCATGCTGTTATTTAGTTTTTTAATTTAAGAATATTATTATATTTTAAAGCATACAGCATTCCCTAAGCATATACCTAGTATTCCAGAGAGCACCTGTGGGACTTCATTTCTCACATTACTTTTTCCTTAATCTGAAGAATCTTATTAATACATCCCTCCCTTTTTAAAAAAAACTTTCCAAGATTCTTAGTAACACACAAAATTGGAAGTTTTCTTACAATGTAGACATGTGTCTGTGGCTAAGCCGAATCTTGCTCCAAATGAAAAGTTGACAATGAAAGTAAGATATACTCACAGAGAAATACAAGATTATTACTATTTTGGGGAGTATTTCATAGATTTTTCTGAACACACTTTTTGAAGGCAGTTTTAAATTTCAATTTTAAGTGTGAGGCGAACTGTGTTACAGCATCCTTGGATTATTATTCTTTCTTTTATGTAGTCTCTGTTTTCCTTGCTGCTGCTAGCGGTGGATTAAAAGAACTAGGTAGTAGCCCCTCCCATGGGCTATTTATACTGATGGGGGGGAGTGGGCGGGGCTACTCTGTCAAAATTAATCTCAAAAGTTTCTGATGCTGCCTGCGCGAGCGCAGGAATAAACCATATGCAATTCACAGCTGACCACGGCGGGAAAATCTGGAAGTCTGTCACTATTATTCCCTTGTTACATTGATTCTAGAATGATATTTCTGAACTGATAGCCTTCACAAGAACCCATATTTGTTACACAAATGATGGATAGTCTAAATAGCCGATAGCAGACTCCAAACACCATGTTTTATGCAATCCTGATGCTGAGTTTATTCTTGTTTTATTCCCATACCTTTTGGCTTTTAGGAAGGCTTTAGTTTGAAATCTGAACTTGAAACTTACCATTATAACCTGGACAACACAAAACAGTTTTTGAGGCATCTGCCATGATACCTTTGAGTTATGGCTGCCAGAAATGCAGACACTCTTTCCAAATATATTCAGTTATTTACACAACCTTGTTTATTTATTTAGAACTTTTATATCCTGTTGTTCTCTACCTCCATGGAAGGATTCAGAATGGCTAACAACAGCAAAAATTCAATAATGTGAATAATGTTAAAATTTAATTCATGCTCAGTAGGATAAATAACAAAGAGTAGCGTGGCACAGATCTCCTGAATGTTCGCCAGGCCAGCCACCTCTTGACAGAAATGGGGTTGTTCACTAAGAGATATGTGTGGGACCTTAGTTAATGGGTGAGCCCTAGTTAGAGGATGTGTGAGCCCTAGTTAGAAGATGTGTGAGCAAGTGAAGAGACGCAAGGGCCACTTGGGAATTTTTGCATTCATTTAGGTTGGTAGTGCATGGAAGAACTAAAAAGTACAGAATTATGAAACTTTGTTGCTAGGTTTGTGAACAATAATTCACCTTATTAACTATCCCAATTCACCTTTATATACAATGTATAGCCAGACTAATATATTCTCCACTTGTTGCCAATTAGTTTCCTGGCAAAGTACAAAGTTGGCTTTGATCTTTTAAGCCGTACATATGGTTTGGGTCCAGGTTACCTACAGAATCAATTGCCTTCTCCCATACAACCTGCCCCTTAGGTCTCTGGGGGACGTTTACTCCATCCAGTCTGAACCCAGCTAGCATCAGTCACCCAGAGGACCTTTGCATTGGCCGTCCTACAGCTGGAATGACCTGCCGAAAGAGTTTCAACAGCTAGATCAGCTGTGTTGGAATTTAAAACACAACTGACAACCTGTCTTTCTTAGCAGGCCTAACCAGTCAATTTAACTTGTGAATTTTAACTTGCAGCATGAATTTTAATCTGTATTTTATCTTTGTATAATTGTTGCATGTATTTTAATTGTGTTTTATCTTGCTGTTTGAAACACAAGATACAAGGAGAAGCGGGTATTATTATGTACTAACATAATCTAATGATTAATATACAAAAGGAGCCGTGATGGCGCAATGGGTTAAACCCTTATGTTGGCTGAACCACTGACCTGGAGGTCAGTGGTTTGAATCCATGAGAAGGGGTGAGATCCCATCTATCAGCTCCAGCTTCCCATGTGGGGACAGGAGAGAAGCCTTCCACAGGATTGTAAAACATCCAGGCATCCTTGCAGATGGCCAATTCTCTCACACCAGAAGCAACTTGCAGTTTCTCAAGTCGCTTCTGACACACAAAATTAATATATTATATACATTGTATAATCTAATTATTGATTCCTTCTCACTTGACAGGAAAACTCTTTGTTGGTGGTGGTTTTGATGGTTCCCATGCAGTTAGCTGTGTGGAGATGTATGACCCTGCTAAGAATGAATGGAAGATGATGGGCAGCATGACCATCCAAAGAAGTAATGCTGGATTTGCAACAGTGGCAAATACCATCTATGCAGTAGGAGGCTTTGATGGCAACGAATTTCTGAACACAGTTGAAGTCTACAGTCCTGAGTCAAACGAATGGAGCCCCTACACAAAGATATACAAATTCTGAATTAATATGTCTCCTTAAAACTAACAGGCTTGGTGATGTAATTGTTTAAGTAGAGGTACACTTGTTAATAGAGGGGGGAGGGAGGTTTAAAGTTGCCATCAGCAACACAAGGCTTTTGCATATTGCATACTATTACTATGCTGTACATATTTTTGTTTGGAAAAATGAAGGGTGTTCTTGATATTAGAATTTGTTACTTTAGAAGTTTATTTCCCCTGAAAGATTAAGAATGAGAGCTGATGGCATATCATTTCAAGAGCTTCCCCCAGTGTTTGTTTTGCTTATTTGCACACACAAATGCTTGTTCTTTAGTATTTGTTACTGGTGCAGGAAAAGATAGCGGTTTCAAATGTGAGCAATTACTTTTTTGGCCTTGTGTTGATTTTATTTTTAATCTTTAGTAACTGGAAAATCTAAAAAGCCTTATCTAAATAAATGGCTGTATTATATAAAAAAGCTGATACACCTGCCAATTTGACTGCCTTTTATAACTTTTTTTATATATAACCGTAGTTGGAATTTGTAATATCCTGAAGTGATGTAAGATACGTGTTGAAACAAATAGACAATCTTAAAAGTTCATAGACTGGAGTAAGACATGCCATTTTCTACCATGAGAGCGTTTGATTTCCTCCTTGCTATTATGTTATATAAACTGTAGTACAAAATACAGCTTTTTCAGTGCATGAGTGTGGAATTTCTGAACAAGGTTGTAATGTGAGGAAAAGCTAGGCTCTGAAATTCAATTAATCTACACTTTTCTACATGATTTAAGATTGTAACAAATATGCGATGCTGCAACATTTGTGTGGTGTGTTAGCAAGGTTACCTATCTTAAAATTATTGTATAAGTTTGTATCTTTCTACTACAAGCTGAAACCTGCTATAATATAAATTGTGTTTCATTTGTTTTAAAGTGGCTGTTTAGTATTCTTAACTTTTTTATCCTAGCTTTCAAATCTATTTTAAAACGTGTTTTCTGCAGTTTTACGCAACTCATTAGGAATCATAAGCCTCAAGCACTAGTGATCCCATTGGATAATTTTACTTTGAGAACTTCATTAATATTTGTTTATATACTCCATACATTCTGCTTTTTCATAATATATGAACAAACTAGCTAGAAATTGACTTTTTAGGATACCTCTTCACACTTGACATGTTTCTGTACAGTAAATTTAAGTCACTGTTCTGTCAACCCATCTTTTTAAGTCAGTGCAGGCTATTTCATTTAGGAATATATTAACTTAAAATGCCAAACCACTTCAAGACCTACCGGAGTTGCCTGCTAGTAGTAGACAGTGCCACCAACTCCAAAGATCTTGGAGTCCTCGTGGACAACAAGTTAAACATGAGCCAACAATGTGATGTGGCGGCAAAAAAAGCCAATGGGATGTTGGCCTGCATCAATAGGAGCATAGTGTCTAGATCTAAGGAAGTAATGCTACCCCTCTATTCTGCTTTGGTTAGACCACATCTGGAATATTGTGGCCAATTCTGGGCACCACAATTCAAGAGAGATATTGACAAGCTGGAATGTGTCCAGAGGAGGGCGACTAAAATGATCAAGGGTCTGGAGAACAAGCCCTATGAGGAGCGGCTTAGGGAACTGGGCATGTTTAGCCTGAAGAAGAGAAGGCTGAGAGGAGATATGATAGCCATGTATAAATATGTGAAAGGAAGTCATAGGGAGGGGAATGTGTCCAGGGGAGGGCGACTAAAATGATCAAGGGTCTGGAGAACAAGCCCTGTGAGGAGCGGCTTAGGGAACTGGGCATGTTTAGCCTGAAGAAGAGAAGGCTGAGAGGAGATATGATAGCCATGTATAAATATGTTTACCGGAAGCCACAGGGAGGAGGGAGCAAGCTTGTTTTCTGCTGCCCTGGAGACTAGGACGCATGGAACAATGGCTTCAAACTACAAGAGAGGAGATTCCATCTGAACATTAGGAAGAACTTCCTGACTGTGAGAGCCGTTCAGCAGTGGAACTCTCTGCCCCGGAGTGTGGTGGAGGCTCCTTTGGAAGCTTTTAAGCAGAGGCTGGATGGCCATTTGTCAGGGGTGATTTGAATGCAATATTCCTGCTTCTTGGCAGGGGGTTGGACTGGATGGCCCACGAGGTCTCTTCCAACTCTTTGATTCTATGATTCTATGTACCCTTCGCTGCAACCTACTCACTTCAGATATACTGCAAGCCAGCATAGTTATTCCCTCATCTTTTCTCGTGGAGCCTTAAGGGAGGCCTGACATATTAGATTCAGGCAATAAAAATAGGAGATCCCGTCAATAATTGCAGCTTCAGTGTGAAGGGTATGGTATTGTTGATCTCAAAATGCTAGAATGCTACTCTCATCAGCCCCAATCAGCATAGCCAGTAGTTGCATTTGAGAAACTGTAGTCCAAGATTTCATGGAGACTGTGCCCCCCCCCCCCCCAATATCTACAGGAACTATCTTACCTGGCAAAATGAAGGCTATTGCGGTAAAAAATTTAGCATGAATAAAAAAATTATACTAATATAAAGACCGAAAGGCTGCTGGGATATCCATTTTCAGAGATACAGTATTTCATCACATAATAGCCACACTTTTTAAAAAGGGGAATAAACTATTACATGATGGAAAAAATCTGCCACGCAATCTCCAGTTTGTTTTACCTCAGAGACAAGAGAGGAAGGAGGTAGATTCGCTATCCCTCTCCTTTCTCCAAAGACAAGTCAGTTCACAAAATCTGAAATGGAGCTCTGTGGAGAAAGGAAAGGAGGGAAGATCTGAATTCCAGAGACCTCCAAATTTTTAAAACCGCCATGTCTCTGAGGAAAGAGGAGTGCGGTTACAATTTCCTAGTTTTAAAACGGTTTTTAACGGGAATCGGCCCCAAATGGCTCTATGACTTGTGTGAGGAACACAAAAATACAAATTTTACCCCCCGAAAAATGGGGTAATGGCTATTGTGCAGTGGCAACTATTATGCAATAAAATTCTGTAGCCATGGCAGTCTCATAGTGCAGCCAGTTCTGTAAATTTACATGTAGTTGTTTCACTTGACTGAGAAATTAGTAAACTGTTACACAATGGAGAAACTCAAAACCACTTCAGAATCAGTTATGTGACTGGGATCAAGTGTCAGAATGCTGACATATATTGATACACTACAAAAAGATTACTACCAGCAAAGCTGAAAAAATTCTTACTTGCTTTGCTGCCTCAGAATGAAGTTCTTATACTGTGGTGATATCACTATTATATACCTTAATATCTTGAGTTAGGGTACAGTACAAGTCCAACCATGAACCAACGAGGACTGTACTAGGGTCCTTCCACCTAAAGGCAAACACAGATCTCTGTATTCATGTATGGTTGATGAATGGATCATCTAGATAATAAAATTACTTCGTCATAGAATTAAGTTCAATTTACACTGGAAAAATGTGTAAAAGTGTCAGTTTCAAAATCTGTTCACATACACACAAAAACTGTGTTTGACCATACTATTATTCAGATAACCGTGACATGAAATACGTCTGGGTACATGGGAATATACACTATGAATGGGTTCCTAAGTAAACAAGTTAAACACCAATAATCCACTTATAAAGATAACATAATGAATAAGTCCAACAAGTAGGTAAACTGAGAAACTTAGATTGTTCAATTCACAGTAGTCACAAAATAAAGCAATATGCAATAAGTTCTGTGTAGTCTTTTAGTGATGTCGTTGTATGTTCATGAATCAGCCTCCCACGACCGGTTTCGGCCTTTGCTTTAGGCCTTCTTCGGGTGGTCTGTAATTTTACATACATGAATACATTTTACAATTATACAGGTTGAACATAATGCAATAAAATGCAATTGGAAATACTTACAAAGTTCAGTCTTTTACATGTGTTCTCATAAGAGATACTTAAATTTTTTTACAATGGGATCTAGGTAAAAGGAACAAATTGTGGCTATTAACATTTAAACGTTACATATATCAAAATAAATGTTTTACCAATATATTTCACCAAATAGGTGTATACTCACACGATACTCTGCTTCTAAGTTTGATTCTAATTGCGAGTATGAACAGGATCTAGGGATTACCTCTATTTAAAGAGGAAAATGCACATCAGATGTAAAGGAGACAGAGAAGTTAATTAAAGGCTCATTTAAAGTTATAGGTGTAGAGGAAGTCACCACTAGATGGCGTTGTGAGTAATGTAGTCCCCAGGGATGTGTAGTATACAAGGGATAATACAAAAAATCTCAAGGTTATATATAGCAACTGTATGAATTGTATTCATTAAGACCGTGTGGATGTTCCGTCCGTAATCTGAAGATCCAATATGTTTCCCTTTGTAGGAGTTTAATGTTAAAGTCCATGTATTTGGATTGTGTGACTACTTCTAATATATGGTATTTGAAGGATTCAGGATTATGCCGTAGATCATCAAAATGTTTATACAGTATGGAGTCTCTGGAATTAGTTCTGATTTTGCTCCGGTGTTCTATAATTCTAGATTTCACTTCTCGACGAGTTTGACCAACGTACATCAGATTGCATTCACAAATAATCATGTAGATAACTCCTTTAGTAGTGCATGTAGCAAAATGGGAGAATTTGATATTCAATGGTGGGTGTTGGTGTGTAAAATTTTTGTCTCCACCAGTTGGTTACACACTGAGCAATGGTGGCACCGATAATTGCCAATCAGATTTGATTTCATGGACGGAACATTATGTGTTAAATCTGAATGTACCAAAAAATCCCCGATGCTCTTGGTTCTTTTATATGCTATTAATGGGGGTGTTTCACAGCCTGGGATGTCCCTTATTAGGTTCCAGTATTTTTTAATTGTTCTGATGGCTGAACTGGACATATTAGTGAGATTTGGTACATTCAGATTTAACACATAATGTTCCGTCCATGAAATCAAATCTGATTGGCAATTATCGGTGCCACCATTGCTCAGTGTGTAACCAACTGGTGGAGACAAAAATTTTTACACACCAACACCCACCATTTTTACACACCAACACCCACCAACACCCACCTATTTGGTGAAATATATTGGTAAAACATTTATTTTGATATATGTAACGTTTAAATGTTAATAGCCACAATTTGTTCCTTTTACCTAGATCCCATTGTAAAAAAATTTATCTCTTATGAGAACACATGTAAAAGACTGAACTTTGTAAGTATTTCCAATTGCATTTTATTGCATTATGTTCAACCTATACAATTGTAAAATGTATTTATGTATGTAAAATTACAGACAAATTACAAATTATGTATGTAATATTATAGACAAATTACAAATATGCGAGTATACACCTATCTGGTGAAATATATGGGTAAAACATTTATTTTGATATATGTAACGTTTAAATGTTAATAGCCACAATTTGTTCCTTTTACCTAGATCCCATTGCAAAAAAAATTTAAGTATCTCTTATGAGAACACATGTAAAAGACTGAACTTTGTAAGTATTTCCAATTGCATTTTATTGCATTATGTTCAACCTGTATAATTGTAAAATGTATTTATGTATGTAAAATTACAGACCACCCGAAGAAGGCCTAAAGCAAAGGCCGAAACCGGTCGTGGGAGGCTGATTCATGAACATACAACGACATCACTAAAAGACTACACAGAACTTATTGCATATTGCTTTATTTTGTGACTACTGTGAATTGAACAATCTAAGTTTCTCAATTTACCTACTTGTTGGACTTATTCATTATGTTATCTTTATAAGTGGTGTTTAACTTGTTTACATGGGAATATAGCCACAGAGCATGAGAGAGCCACTACATCTAACAAAGGCCATCGTAGTTCAGTTTTCGTATCTTAAAGGTGTTCACAAGCAGGACTTGCCTATGCTAACATTTGCCATTTGTGTTTCCAGCTAACACTGGTATACTGAGATGTTCTGCTTCTGATGAAATAGAGCCATAATCAGGAACCATTGATAGCCTTCAGATCATCCAAGTCAGTTAGCAGTACTTCAGCTTATGAAAGCAAAGTTTTAACAGTGAGTGAAGAAATACTACTTTGGGTGCATCTACACTGCAGAATTAATGCAGTTTGACGCCACTTTAACTGCCATGGCCTGATACTATGGAATTGTGGGACTTGTAGTTCTAAACCAGCACCTGCCACCAGGAATATATTGGATGCTGGTGAACAAACTGAAATAATGCAGAGAAGGCAGAGGTTATTTGAATGGCAGATCACAGAATTCAGCCCATGGTGGATGGGATTTCCATTCCTCCTTAAGTGCCTGACAGTATGCAAATACTGTCTTGAACATGATTAAAACCTGCGCTTCCAAGCCTAGAATTGAATCTAGGAATGCCCTAGAACTGGCCTTTCAGGCTGCCTAGAACTTGCTCGCAGGCAAAGTCATCAAAGTAACATGGGACGGTAGTTTGTTATATCAACAAGCAAGAAGAAGCTCACTTGGCTACCTTTCTCAAGAAAGGTAGCCGAGTGGTAGGTTGACCTCATGGTAGGTCTGTGAAATTAGTGCTAGAAAGCATAGCCACCCAGGAGCTGTGTAGCTGGCTGGAGCAGTCAGCGTAATGGCAGATTTGTGACTTTGTTGCACATGTGCTACAACATGAGTGGATGTAAAAGGTATTGCAAACATCAAAATACGCTATATCCACAGAACTCCATCTACCAACTTAGGAAAAAAGTAAGTTAAGACTTGGATGACTAGTCTTTGAAAAAGCCACATTGCCTTTTAGTGATCGCCTGCATTTCTTTCTAATTGATCACAGACTCCTCATACACACGAGAAGGAAAGCTACAGATTATATAAATCTTGATGCAGGAATCCAGCCAAAGTTAAGCATTTTCAAATTGGCACATAATCCCAGTTAAGTCAGTTGTGTTTATGAAACACTAAGTACACACAAAACCATACTTAACAGCAATGTGTGACCATGACCAGGGAGCATATGTATGGCAGGATTTACTGTGTTCTCCATACCACTCCAAATACGGCACATTATATACTCTACTATTTATTTGAAATATCTTGTCCAATTCTGTAAAGAAACCATATTGTAAAAAAAACCTTTTTAAGTAGCAGCATTGTTAAGCAATAAACAGAAAAAAGATAAATTATTATATCATAGCATAAAAAGGTGATAGGCTGTTCACAGTCACATAAATTAATTGAACAATATCTCCATTTTCTTGACCCTCTTCAGAGGCAATATTAAGAGTAGCCTTTTAAAAAGGCAGCAAATCGCTCAAGTAAATTAAACAGACATGCTTGTAAAATTACAAATGTCTCATTTTTGAAAAACGAAATGTGCAATATATTTATATGTACACTAAGAATGAATTAGCTTAAAATGGAACGTGTACCACAACAAATGCATCCTTGGATTATGCTGGCTTGTAAAAATCCGTTTGCAGTATTATTCCATGTTCCAACTATAATTTTAAATAACTACATCAAGCCCTGTTTCAGTTTTCAGCTGATATAAAAAGATTAAAACAACAGATTGTTGCTATAAATCCTCTGCTGCTAAGTGCACTGGTTCAGGATTAGTAGCACCAGTTTTGCTTTACCTCTGGGCTTACTTTTTCTCCTCCCCATGAAATACAATTACAATGCATGGACTTAAAAGTTGGATGAACTTTGAACTCAAGGCTAAGGCAGAGTAAAGCAAAGAAAAAGGGGTAGGGAAAGGTGTATGATGGTTTACACAGATTTCATTATACACTTCTAATCATTCTGCTTGGAGTGGGAGATGAAGATCCAATCGACCCCCTCATACATTTGATTCCCCAAAGTAGCCTCTGCTTTACAGAATCTCTCTTCACAGGCAGTTCACATTTTGCTCCAGCCATATCTTCCATTGTCAGCTGAACAAGAAGTTCCTTCGTGCAAAAAGCTGTACTGTCTTTTCTTAGGCTGCCAGGGACTTCATACTCTTGCCTGTGAGCACAGCCTGCCAAACTCAATGAACATTAAGTGTATTAACAGAGGGGCTGCATATTTTGCCAGTGTGGTTGTAATTTGTGTTTAAGAGGGAACGCAAAACAAGTTACAAGATGCAAGTTGCTTGATCTACCTAAGCAACATGAGAGATTTGGGAAAAGAAAAGTTATGATTGGTGAGCATGTGTACTTTTTTCTTTTTGGCTTTGTAAAATGGAAGCCATGGGAAATGGAAGATCTGGGTTGTGAACAGTGGATTTAACCACTGATCTCTTACATATGACTGCTATATTCCCACACTCAAAACTGTTCTATGCATTAGAAGGGAGACTCTTTGCATGGAGACTCTTTCCTATCTCCATGGTCCTAAGCCTGACCAGCCCTCCGACATGGCAGCTGTTCTTTACATACACAAAAACAGTTAAGGCCAAACTATTTATCTGATGCAGTGCGTTATTTGGTCTTTAGACAAAAGCTCCCAAGAATGCTGGTTAGTTACAGAAGCCTAAGCTCCTGTGAGATGGTGGTCTTTTGGAGCTGGACCATAAGATTGTTGTGTCCATTACAAGAATGCTACTGTTGCTTTAAATGCTCCAACTGAGTACAGAACTAAACCCATCCTCTGTTCTTGATTTCCAAACAAACAGATTCATATCGTTGTTTAATTGTACGTTCCAGTTGAGCCAGTTGCCCACATCCAATCAATAAGCGATCCCTGTGATGGGGGACAGAGAGAAAAATGTTAAGGCATGCAAATTCATTGATTAATCTTCTGCAGCAGTTTTTCTAAAACAAACAGAGATGATTAAAGGCATTAGCAAATGTATACTGAAGGCAGTAGCAATCATGTCTTGTACAAACTGTAATAGCTAGTGATGGAAGAAGCTTAGAAACACAAATGTTGTACGAGTATGCATCATAGGTGATGGAGGCGAGAAAGACAAGTCCAGGTGAAGGACCACTATGTTCCTGTGAAAATGGAGATAAGGTTAGTCTGTTCTTACTGCGCAAAGTTTAACCCTCCTGGATAAGGTAATGGTGACCAAAAAGGCTATCTTACAAGTCAGTAGGTGCAGGCCACAAGTGGCTATAGCAGTGGTTCTGCACTTGCACAGAGAAGTTTGAAACCTCTGAAATACGCTTTTTGACAGTAGCCCATCCCACTCACCCCAATAGTATAAAAAGGCAAGCCTGAGTTCCTTTTCATCTGCTGTGGCACATGGATAGTTTTCAAGTCTCTCTCTGCTTTGACTTGGCCTGCTTCTTGTTTTCCCCTTTGACCCATTCCAATATTATGACTACTTCTTGATTCTCCCATTTTGTTACTGAGCTACTCCAATGGCTACGACTTTTTTCAAAAAGTGTTTAGAAAGAAGCAGTGTGTCCTAAACAACAATGATCATTCCTGCTGCCTGCTTTGCCTTGAACAAAGTCACACTGTATAAACATTGTCAGGCTTTTACAACTGACACATAAAAAAGTGAGCAAAGACTTAAAGTAGGTATCCTAAAACTGCTGAATTTCAGCTGTTTGGCCCTCCAACTCCTAGAATTCCTGACCATTGAACAAGCTGGCCAGGGCTTCTGGAAGTTGGAGGCCAAAACAGCTGGAGGCAGTTTGGCAATGCCTGGCTTAAAGTCTTGCTGTATGAGATTGTGCTCTCTGCATTGATGCCATCTGAACTCAAACAGCCTGCTACATTGCTTCGAGCATGCCAGTTTCATCAGCAGTGAAGCTTACGATGTCCCTAAGGCAGTGGTTCTCAACCTGGGGGTTGGGACCCCTGGAGGGGTCACTAGGGAGTGTCAGAGGGGTCACTAAAGATCACCAGAAAACACAGTATTTTCTGTTGGTCATGGGGGTTCTATGTGGGAAGTTTGGCCCAATTCTGTCATTGGTGGGGTTCAGAATGCTCTTTGATTGCATGTGAACTATAAATCCCAGCAACTACAACTCCCAAGATATCAAGGTCTATTTTCCCCAAATTCCTCCAGTATTCACATCTGGGCATCTTGAGTATTCGTGCCAAGTTTAGTCCAGATCCATCATTGTTTGAGTCTACAGTGCTCTCTGGATGTAGGCAAACTACAACTCCAAAACTCAAGACAATGCCCACCAAAATCCTTCCAGTATTTTCTGTTGGTCACGGGAGTTCTGTGTGCCAAGTTTGGTTCAATTCCATCATTGGTGGAGTTCAGAATGCTCTGATTGTAGGTGAACTATAAATCCCAGCACCTACAACTCCCAAATGTCAAGGTCTATTTTCCCCGAAGTCCACAAGTGTTCACATTTAGGCTTACTGAGTATTCTTGCCAAGTTTAGTCCAGATCCATCATTTTTTGAGTCCACAGTGCTCTCTGGATGTAGACGAACTACAACTCCAAAACTCAAGGTCAATGCCCACCAAACCCTTCCAGTATTTTCTGTTGGTCATGGGAGTTCTGTGTGCCAAGTGGAGTTCAGAATGCTCTTTTACTGCAAGTGAACTATAAATCCCAGCAACTACAACTCCCAAATGACAAAATCAACCGCCCAACCCCACCAGTTTTCAAATATGGGCGTATTGGGTATTTGTGCCAAATTTGGTCCAGTGAATGAAAATACACCCTGTGTATCAGATATTTACATGACGATTCATAACAGCAGCAAAATGACAGTTATGAAGTAGGAAGGAAAATAATTTTATGGTTGGGGGTCACCACCACATGAGGAACTGTATTAAGGGGTCGCGGCATGAGGAAGGTTGAGAACCACTGCCCTAAGGGCTTCCTAGGCGCCATCAGCTTTGACTTCCCAATTGTCTAAGCTCTCTACCCTGTCAAAGCCAGCTTCCACGTCAATACTTTCCGTATCTAAAGACTCAATGCAGCCAACCATCTAGAAGTGGACTAAGCCTCTTTTAAGTCCTCTCAAGATGACAAACCTCTGATCAAGGGGCAGAAAAATTCTCTGTCGATAGATGTCTTTGCATCCAGAATGAATGTCCATCTCCCTCTCTTCTGCTTCAGAGCACAGGACTATGACAGGGATGGTTCCCTAAGGGATGCATTCCTTTTCAACTGGAGAGGACCCTTCCTCTACACGTTTCCCCCAATTCTTCTCAACAGGGTGTTGTTGAAGATCCTTCTAGATCATGCAAAAGCCATCTTGATTGCCCCATGGTGGACAAAACTAGTTTGATTTTCCACTCTACTGCTTCATTCCAAGGGCCAGTAATTCCTCCTTACTATCTGTGCAGATCTTCTGATGATGCACAATGGTAGAGTTCAATATCCTAATATCGAAACATTACACCTGATGGCATGGCCGTTGCTCTGCTTTTGGATCCTATACATCACATAACTGAGGCCACTCACAAGATATAACTGGCAAACTATCTTGCCAATGAAAGCTTCTCCCTGATGACTTCATCCTCAACTGTACCAGCTTCCCAATTACCTTGTCTGACAAGTGCCTAGCACTATCTTTTCTGTTAAATATTACCTTGCAGCTATTTCTTGGTTCTTCAAAAAGCTTGGAGACTGTGCTGTATCTTAGGCCTCCCGTAATTTTGTCCCCTACCTTCCTCATGGAGCCTGCCCTCAAGCTAATACTCTCAACTCTCTCATAGACCATTCTAACCTATAGCCCAGTGATTCCCAACCTGGGGTCCCCAGATGTTTTTGGCCTTCAACTCCCAGAAATCCCAACAGCTGGTAAACTGGCTGGGATTTCTGGGAGTTGTAGGCCAAAAACATCTGGGGACCCCAGGTTGAGAACAATCCCATTTGTGTGAGTTGCAAAAACCACAGAGAACATAATAGACTACACTTTAAAAATATCTCATGTATATGCAACATATAAGAGCATGAATATTTTTATGTTTTATCATTATTAATTCTAACCAATTTTAAATATTTGGACATCAATTAGCTGGTTATAGTACAAAAATACAAGGTTTAATATATATCACGTGCAAGACTTGAAAGCATTCATTGGTGCCATATGAGATTTGGTGCATTTACTCTAATAATAATAATAATAATAATAATAATAATAATAATAATAATACTTTATTTATACCCCGTCACCATCTCCCCAAGAGGGACTCAGGCCAGCTAACATGAGGCCAAGTCCAACAATTACAGATCAAAATAAAATACATACATACAGAAAATAGTATCATCAAATAAAATGTAAACAAAACAAGGTTCTTGTGGGTTTTTTTGGGCTATAGTATTTGAAGGCCTGCCTGAGCCTGGGAAAATCTGTTGCTGGGAGGTGTTAATCTGTGCCTGGTTTTGTCCTCTCTGTTGTTTAGCTGTTGTAATTTTAGAGTTTTTTAATACTGGTAGCCAGATTTTGTTCATTTTCATGGTCTCTTCCTTTCTGTTGAAATTGTCCACATGCTTGTGGATTTCAATGGCTTCTCTGTGTAGTCTGACATGGTGGTTGTTGGTGTGGTCCGGCATTTCTGTGTTCTCAAATAATATGCTGTGTCCAGGCTGGTTCATCAGGTGCTCTGCTATGGCTGACTTTGAGAACACAGAAATGCTTTCAAATGCTAATGAAGGTGGTCAGTTGAAACATTCACACCTAGCTCCAGCAGAGAAGAGCTCTGTGCCCCACCCCAGCCATTCCACAGATATATAAACCCATTTTCCTACTTCCAACTGACCTCACTACCTCTGAGGATGCTTGCCATAGATGCAGGCGAAACGTCAGGAGAAATGCCTCTAGAACATGGCTCTATAGCCCGAAAAAACCCACAAGAACCTAGTGATTCCAGCCATGAAAGCCTTCGACAATACATTAAACAAAACAAGTTAATACAAAGTCAAACAAAGGAAATGAAATAAAATAATAAAAATACGCACAGTGGGCTGGGCCAAATTACAAGGGATAGAATGATAAAATATAAAAACCCTGGGTGCGATGGATGAGTAGGGTAGTGTGCCTGGTGGGAGATTTCAGATAGGACAAGCAATGGGGTGAATTTCACTAAAGAATAAAGGGTGAAGGATGTGAACTGAAGGGGGAACTGTAGACTGTAACCCCTTTGAATTTGTCAATATCAGGGTTTTTGCAGTAGAAATGATTCAGCAGAGACATAGCAAAATTACCATATAGAACATGTTTTCCCACAATGAAGAGGCAAGTAAGGAATTATTATGCCTTGTAAGAACAAATTTCTTTTCTAACGCCTCACCTGTATACCTCTTGGGAGATGCATTCATAAAGCTCTTCAGCAGTAAATTTAGTGATATTATTTATCTGTGGATAGAAGAAATTGAAAAGTGTATTAAAATATTGACATCACCTATTGAAAATTAAATGCCCCAGTAAAAGAACCCAGCATTTCTAGATATCCAAAAGTCTTTTGTCTATCAGCCCAGAAGACAAAATTTATTTATTTATTTATTTATTTATTTATTTATTTATTTACATCACTTATATCCCGCCCATATCAGCCTGCAGGCGACTCAGGGCGGTCTACATATCGGCACAATTCGATGCCATCAATACAATACAAAAGCAAAAACAATTAAGTGCATTTAGACAAAAAAGACAGTGCAATAACAATTTAAAAAGAGCTATATCCTCTCATTCCAATCCTCGTCCATTTCATCGTCTTGGCCGTTCCTGGGTCATTCTCCATCTCAAGCTTGACTATCTATTCCAGGGTTCCGAATGCCTGCTCGAAGAGCCAGGTTTTCACTCTCTTATGAAAGGTCAGGAAGGAGGGGGCTGATCTAATATCCCTAGGCAGGGAGTTCCACAGCCGAGGGGCCACCACAGAGAAGACCCTGTCTCTCGTCCCCGCCAAGCGTGCTTGCGAAGCAGACGGGATTGAGAGCAGGGCCTCCTCAGATGATCTTAACTTCCTGGAGGGTTCGTAGGAAGAGATGCATTCGGATAGGTAGGCTGGGCCAGAACCGTTTAGGGCTTATAGGCTAAAGCCAGCACTTTGAATTGGGCCCGGTAGCAAACTGGCAGCCAGTGGAGCTGGCGCAGCAGAGGAGTTGTGTGCGCCATAAGCGCCGTTCCTGTTAGCAACCTGGCTGCTGCACGCTGGACCATTTGAAGCTTCCGAGCCGTCTTCAAAGGCAACCCCACGTAGAGCGCGTTGCAGTAATCTATGCGGGATGTAACCAGAGCGTGGACTACCGTGGCCAAGTCAGACTTCCCAAGGTACGGGCGCAGCTGGCGCACAAGTTTTAGTTGTGCAAATGCTCCCCTGGTCACCACCGAAACTTGGGGTTCCAGGCTCAGCGATGAATCCAGGATCACACCCAAGCTGCGAACCTGCGTCTTCAGGGGGAGTGTAACCCCATCTAGCACAGGCTGTAACCCTATGCCCTGTTCGGCCTTTCGACTGACCAGGAGTGCCTCTGTCTTGTCTGGATTCAGTTTCAATTTGTTACCCCTCATCCAGTCCGATACAGCGGCCAAGCACCGGTTCAGGACCTGAACAGCCTCCTTAGTAGTAGGTGGGAAGGAGTGACAGAGTTGGACATCATCTGCGATATATATGTATTGTTGAAAGGCTATGTAGAGGGAATAGAGACCCATCATCCCATACTTGTTTCTAAGTATGACCCACCACACCACCAGCTGAAGAATTCAAAGTTTCAAAAGGTTAATTCATTGGATTACAACATCCAGAATCGCATTGCAGTGATGATTGGCTAGAGAAGACTGGCTAAAAAAAAGGTAAAAGAAGTGTACTGGAGCAAGTAAAAAAGGACAATCAGAAGATATGCTAATTAATATGAAACAGTCGAGTCATTTCAATATATTAAGGAACGGAGCAACTTTAATTTAAGTTCACAGATACTTTTGCAAGAAAGGTGGAAATCATGCAGCCCTTCAGATGTTGTGGCATTACAACTTCCACCATTTCTTATCACTCACTATGGCTATGGCTGTTTGGACTTAGGGTCCAATAATATATGTTGTACAAAAAGCCTACAAATTAGTTGAAAATATAAACTGACCCACCTCTGCATTAGTCAAGAAACTATACAAGGTCCATATATCTTGAAAGCTACTATTTGGCAATATAACTCTAAAGGGGAAAAAAGAGAGATAAATGTTAACAACTCATTAGTGGAGTTTTAAGAAGATGTCCAGATGTCCAGAAGATGGACTGGATGGCCCATGAGGTCTCTTCCAACTCTTTGATTTTATGATTCTATGATAAAGCAAAAACTTCAAATGCTTCTTTGATATCTCTAATGAGGTTCTTAATGTATGACTAAATGAAAGTTTTCAGCAGAGTTGAAGCATACCTACATATTAGGGCTGGGCGGTTTCGTTCGTTAATTTTGTATATCGTTTTTTTCCCGTTAATTTCCCATATACGAAACGATATCAAACTTTTTTCCAAACCCGGAAGTGTATTTTCAAAATCGAAACAGCATGCACCAAATATTTTTGTATTTCCGTCCATTTCGGAAATACGTAAGATGGCTAGATGCTTGCTGGGAGCTCTCCTCTCTCTCCTCTCCTTAGCCACTCAGAGCCTGAAAGAGGAGGAGGAGGAGGAGGAGAGGGCGGGGAAGGCGCCGGCTGAGCAAGCGAGCGAGAGGGCGAGCGACCCTCAGCGGGAAGGCGGCCCTGTCCCTCCTTCCTCACCTTTGCGGTGGGTGTGCTTCGAAGGACCCGGGCCCGACTCGGCGGCAGCGCTTGAAGGCCCTCCAGAGTGAGTGCCTGCCTTCCCTCCTTTCCCTTCCTCTTTTCTTTCTTCTCCTTTCCCTCCTCTTGGTGGAGAAAGAGAGAGAGCCCGCAGGACTCAGGAGGGTGGGACGGAGCTGGGAGCAGCGGGGAGGCTCAGTCTGTTTGCCCTGTGGCTCTTTTTGGCAAGCATTTTCTGCCAAATATTTTTTTTTATTATTAAAAAAAATAATAATTAAATTTAAAAAATATTGAAAAAATATTGGAAAAAAATTTTGTTGATGCTTTGCGCATGCGCAACCGCGGGCGCCATCTTTGCAAAACGTTTTGTAAATATTAACGAAATTTCGTAAATACCAAACTTTTTTTAATGGAAAATTTCGGATATATTTTTAAATACAAAACGCTGAGGCACCCTAAAAATGAAACGATATTAGAAACAAATTTTTCCGTTGTTACCCAGGCCTACTACATATCTATTTTTTTAGTGTACAACACTTCACCAGCTGGCATATCACTCCTGGGAGAAATGGCATAGGATTCCATAGGTGGTTAGATTAAAGGTAATTTTTAGCTTTCATGACTATAACTGTATTCATGGATCTAAGACTATATATTTAAAGACTACAAAACCCTTGTTGTGAGTATTGTGAATTATTTTTGTTATCTATATGTTATATTTATGTTATGAATGGTATATAATTCATATAATAATGTAATAACCTTTAGCCACTATGTATTTTCCCTTCAGGATCCACTTTTCAAGTACATTGTCGGTGAACCACTTGCCTAAATGTTGAGCCTTTTTGATAAATGAGTAATTAGTGTGTCTGTATTTATACTGACAGACTTGATGTCTCCAGTTGATCAATTATATGTGTGTATTAATAATATTTATTGTTTATAGACCCAACTACCTGATGAAGACTCCTGTGAGTCGAAACCAGTTGAAGGTTGGAGTCTACTCTTATGTAACAAAGAGAATAGGTCACTTACTGTGAATGCTGGAGTCTACTCTTATGTAATAAAGAAAATAGGACATTCATTGACATTCAAGGACTATTCTTACTCACATGAAGATTTTTTTTTATCCTTCAAGAAAATAACCAATTATTTCTGTTTAATGTGAATGTAACAACCCTATGTTTTATTGATATTTGTATTTGTATGTATGCATTGAGTTAATTTAGATACATTTGCATTACTGCAATTAGTAGATTTTGGTCTCTGCAGGAAAAAAAATGGGGACAGGCCAACAACGACAATGAGAACATTATGGTTCAATTGAATTTCCCTTCCAGGGTTAGATTTCTCTCATTTCCTGTTATCTCACCCCCATTTGTAACTATGAATAATTTGTAAATTGAATGTTTGTAACTCAGGTACTGCCTATACTAATAAACTTAATTACAATTTGAGACAGGTGATAAACATGTGAAAGATGGTAGGATAAAATGAGATGGACATTTTGGACATAATATACAAACAGAGCAATGGGAAAGCATGTAAGGTTGCAACTTACTTTGTGTTATGGTATTTCAAAGATATTTTTTAAATAAAATGATGTATTGTTAGTATAAAGGATTGATAATAAATAATCGAATTTACCATTCTAATACACAGTATATAGTATTATCATAAGATCTTAAAGATTTTCTTATTTTTTGATAGATGGATTTTTTTTTTGTCGTGTCAGGAGCGACTTGAGAAACTGCAAGTCGCTTCTGGTGTGAGAGAATTGGCCGTCTGCAAGGACGTTGCCCAGGGGACGCCCGGATGACTTGATGTTTTTATCATCCTTGTGGGAGGCCTCTCGTGTCCCCGCATGAGGGGCTGGAGTTGATAGAGGGAGCTCATCCGCCTCTCCCCGGATTCGAACCTGCAACCTGTCGGTCTTCAGTCCTGCCAGCACAGGGGTTTAAACCGCTGTGCTACCAGGGGCTCCTTGATAGATGGATGATGTAAAGGAACCATGGAATGCTTCAATACATCACAACAGATGCAAGAATATGCTCAGAAATGGAAACATTATTTAGGCTGGATCTGCACTGCCATATAACCCAGTTTCTGAATCTGATTTAAACTGGATTATATATGAGTCTACACTGACATATAATCTAGCTCAAAGTAGATTATCTGGATTCAGAAACTGGATTATATGGCAGTATAGATAGGGCCTTAGTATCTACTAAAAAGATTGTATATTAAAAGTTAACCTTTTAGCAGAAATGGACAAATATCTATTAAAGAAATTAGAAATGTTTTAGAGGGGCTGGAAATCCCTTATTTATTTATTTATTTATTTATTTATTTATTTGCGGCGCTTATATGCCGCCCTTCTCACCCCGAAGGGGACTCAGAGCGGCTTACAATATATATTTTCATACAATATATTATATTATTAGCAAAGTACAATATCAGTATATATTACTATATTGCACTATACCATTATATAAATAATATATACTTACTGACTTTTGGAGTGCGGGAAATGAAGGTTATTTGAAGACTGTTGGATATACTAATTAATATGACTTAAGTAGAGAGATGAAGTGTAATTTATAGATGAGGTAGTGGTAACTTTGTTTTTGTGGCTTCCACAAACTATATTGAATTGGTTGAAACTCAATGAGTTATTTATTTATTTATTTATTATTCAAGCTTATATGCCGCCACTCCCCTGGGGCTCGGAGCGGCTTACAAGAACAGGCTAAAATCGAACACAATTTAAAAACAATTTAAAACAATTTAAGAACAATCAAAGATCAAAGGCCCGTCGAAATAGATATGTCTTACATCCCCTGTGGAAAGCTGACAAATCCCGCTAGGCACGGACTTCAGGTGGCAGAAAAGCTATAGCAAAATGTGCCGCAGGATGTCCCGCAAAAACAAAGTTTCAACAGTTTTATAAACTTTTTCCATGTTTTTATGATAGAACCAATTAGAAAATGACATTTATAACTCAGAAACAAAAATAGAGTTACACTGTGTAATTTTTGTGTAGTTTGTGTTTTGTGTATGCTTCAGGAGAGGCCCTGCTCTCGATCCCACCACTATCACAAACACGGTTGATGGGGATGAGAGACAGGGCCTTCTCAGCAGTGGCCCCCCGCCTATGGAACACCCTCCCTAGAAATATCAGATTGGCCACCTCCCTCTTGTCTTTTAGAAGGAAAATCAAGACCTGGTTATGGGACCAAGCGTTTGATCAGTGAGCAACAAGTGGATGAAGAACACACAACTTATGGCAATGAATTGACATGGACTGGTTTTTGGATTTCGATTTTAATGGATGTGTCTTAATTAATTGTTTTAATTGTTGTTTTAATTTTTAATATTTTGATTGTACTGTGGTTGTTTTTATGATGCTAGAATCATATGATGCTTTTGTTAGGCTGCCCCGAGTCCCCCTTCGGGGGGGAGAAGGGTGGGGTATAAATATATGAAATAAATAAATAAAAATAAATATGCTAATCAAATTCTATTATCTGTAGATTTTAGTCAATAAAAAACCCTCTGTTTAACTTAGTTATACTTACTTCTGGATTTTTGAAAGAGTTTCATTTACTGCTGACATTAACTTCTGCAGATCCATAAATGCTTCTTTAAATGAGGTCATATTATCTGTTACTGTACAAAGGTCCAGCTTCTGGAAGACATCAAGACTAAGGAAAAAGAAGGGGATTTTATTAAAGAGATATAATAAAACATTTCAACATGGATGTCTCTGGGAGTAGAATGAGAGACAAAGCCTTTTACCAGGCTTATGCATTTTTTTGGAAGTTCTGTAAATTATATTAAAAATTGTTAAATCTGTATTTCTGAAGTGATATCCAACACGTGCATCTAAAACTTAAGAATCAAAACTTACCCAATCCTTTATCACTTAAATTTTGTAATGCATGAAGGCCTCCCTAAGTCAGTTTCATTTTCATGGCAAGCAGCCCAAAAGTTTCCCATTCCTCTCTAAATTAAGAGGGAGAGTAGGGAGCAGAGTTTGCTGGGGGGAAGACTGAGAAAGCACAGATCTCTGAGAAATGTAGATTGGGAAGGCAAAGTCTCCTATGCCAGAGAAATCAAAAGGCCCTGCCCTAAACGACATTTCCCAGAATTTTGCTTGCATCAGAAAGCACCAATCAGGATAGGGGAGAAATGTAGCAGAAGCCAATCAGAGTTCCAATAAATTGTTGAATCTGCATAAAGGAGGATACTTCCAGTAATTAAATCTCCATGCGGGGAAGAAATCTCTAAATCAGTGGTTCTCAATCTGGGGTCCCCAGATGTTTTTGGCCTTCAGCTCCCAGAAATCCTAACAGCTGGTAAACTGGCTGGGATTTCTGGGAGTTGTAGGCCAAAACACCTGGGGACCCACAGGTTGAGAACCACTGCTCTAAATGGATGGCTCTTGGAGGTCCCTTCCAACTCAATAGGGGAAGAATATTAATTAGTTTAGAGGCTGCATGGCCATCTGTCAGGAGAGTTATGATGGGTGCCCTTCTGCCTAGAAGAAGGGGTTGGACTTGATGGCCTCTAGGATTCTATGAAAATGTAAAATTGGTTAATATTGTTTTCTGTTGGTTAATATGCGAGACATTCAATGAGATAGCCATTGTGGCTTTTTAAAAAAAAATTATGTCAAAATTTTATAAACAATTCCCTAAAATCAGATGATGTATGAATATTTCTGAAAGCTGGGGGGAATGATCCCCTGTTATCTTGTGTCATTGTATAAAACATTCAAGGAGATCGCTCTTGTAGTTTTTTAAAAAAAGTTATTTATAAAAGGTTTGAAAATTTCCCAAAAATCTGTGGATAAGTGAAACGTTATGTGGGCTAACAGTGGTAAATGTGTTCTACCATTGAGGCAAGTTTTACACCAATAGCTGTAAAAACAACAGAGAAAGGAGCCCCTGAAGTTTCCCCACTTGCGCAATTACTATAACAAAAAAGTAACACAATTTTTTTACTCCCGTTGTAGTAACAAAATTTTCACTAACATTACTTTAGAAACACTTCAGAAACAAAATGCAAGCAACCCCCCCAATTTTGTAATGACTTTTGAAACATTTTTTTATCAATCACACATGCCTACGTTTTACAGTAGAATAATTATAATCATAATATCATCGTCGTCTTTATTTATACCCTACCACCATCTCCCCAATGGGAACTCAGAGCGGCTTACATGGAGCCAACATATTACATCAAAATAAAACCAAAACATAAACAACAAGCTACATCATCAAAATTACATATAAAAATATGAATACAATAACAAAATAACATTACAATAAACACAGTCGCAGTAACAGTGAGCGGGCCACATGTACAGGATAAAATGATAAAAAAAACCTCTAATGAGATAAAATTAGGAGTAAATTATTTGCAGGGAGCTCATAAAGACACACAGGGTTGTGAAACTAAACTTCCGATTTGGGGGGTATGTACTCCAGTGACAGAAGCGTTGAGGGGAGCAATGTTGTGGACCTACTCGCCAAAGGCGCAGCGGAAGAGCCAGGTTTTAAGGTTCTTTTTGAACGTTTCTAGTGTAGAACTACTACTTTAGCCAGAGACATAGTCGACAGGTTTGTTATTGCACCAGTTGCCACTGAAGATATTTTAGACAGCTGTCAGGTTTTTAAAATGTAGACCAAGTCCACTTTTCCAAATCCTTTGGAATGCTAAAGCTTCTTTCAAACATATGGGATTTTAAGGTTACCTAATGGCTTGTCCAAATGTGCCATTATTGCTCATAATTGAACTGTACTAACTAAACACTAAACATTTCTTGGGGCTCCACAACAAACGCTTGCTTCAAAAAGGGTTCAGTGGCTGAAATGGTTTGAGAACCCCTGGTCTAACCCAAGGTCATACCAAGTTTTCCCTATGCAAAGTAGAAACTTGAATCTGCATTTTCAAGACAAATTAAACTGAAGAAGAAAGAGTTCTTTCAAGGCATATTACCTGAATCCATTCATTTTGTCCCACAATGTTTGAAGGACAGACCAGATTTCCACATGCTTGTTTCCTTGAATTAAAGACTTGGGCGATATTGATGTATCTCCTATTTGAGTATTTTGGACCAAAGTCACATCTTCCATTTGTTCACAAGCAGTTTCTCCAGAAGCAGATTTAAAGGCATTCTGTCCAACTCCTATCTGAAACCAACAAGAACAGAGCAAGCAAACATTCAATGGACTGAGTCTGATGCACTAAAACTAAAACTATTAGCATTTGAAGGGATGCCACTTTCTTTTTTTATTTTTGCATTAATCATAATAATAGCTTTTCCCACCATTTCAAAGTATCCCATTTAATCTCTTGACTAATTTAATGATGGAATTTCTATACATCCCTAGAAAAATACTTATTCCATGGCAGTTTAAAAAATAGTTTTAAATACAGTAGGGTCTTGCTTATCCAACACTAGCTGTCCCTGCCACGCATTGCTGTGGCCCAGTCTGGTGATCAGATAATTGTTATATTGTATTACACTATAATATTATAAATATTATGTGTACATAAAAAGGTAAAGGTAGTCCCCTGACATTAAGTCCAGTCATGTCTGACTCTGGGGTGTGGTGCTCATCTCCATTTCTAAGCCGAAGAGCCGGCGTTGTCCATAGACACCTCCAAGGTCATGTGGCCGGCATGACTGCATGGAGAAAATATTATATTATGATTTTGTCATTTGGGAGTTGTAGTTGCTGAGATTTATAGTTCACCTACAATCAAAGAGCATTCTGAACTCCACCAGCGATGGAATTGAATCAAATTTGGCACAGGGAACTCCCATGACCAACAGGAAATACTGGAAGAGTTTGGTGGGCATTGACCTTCAGTTTTGGAGTTGTAGTTCACCTACATCCAGAGAGCACTGTGGACTCAAACAATGATGGATATGGACCAAACTTGGCACCAAAACTCAATATGCCCAAATATGAACATTGGTGGAGTTTGGGGGAAATAGACCTTGACATTTGGGAGTTGTAGTTACTGGGATGTATAGTTCACCTACAATCAAAGAGCATTCTGAACTCCACCAATGATGAAATTGGCCAAACTTAGCACAAAGGAGTCCCCTGACCAACAGAAAACACCAGAAGGGTTTGGTGGGCATTGACCTTGAGTTTGGGAGTTGTAGTTCACCTATATCCAGAGAGCACTGTGGACTCAAACAATGATGGATCTGGACCAAACCTGGCACGAATATTCCATATGCCCAAATATGAACACAGATGGAGTTTGGGGAAAATAGACCTTAGCATTTGTGATTTGTAGTTACTGGGATTTATAGTTCACCTACAATCAAAGAGCATTCTGAACCCCACCAACGACAGAACTGGGGCAAACTTCCCACACAGAACCCCCATACTGAAGGCTATCCAGTCCAACTCCCTTCACCAGGGGAAGAAAACATAATGAAAGATCTCCTGACAAGGACTCATCAAACCATAGATATAGAGAAAATAAATAATTCACACACAGAGAGATATAGTGTCATAGATTGGAAAGGGACCCCTAAAGAAGGACAATTATATGTTGCGTGTTCCAGAGTAGGCAAACCAGACAATCTCCACATCAACACTGACAAAGAAACGGCAAGAAATATTGTTTTCCCCAAGCATAAATAAATTACATATATTAGAAAGCAACAGTTTAAAATTACTTTGTTTTCCAGATCACCAGACTGGGTCGCAGCAACTCGTGGCAGGGGGCCAGCTAGTAATAAATAATAAGAAGAAGAAGCAGAAGATAGGGAGAGACCTGCAAGGGTCATCCTCTGCGTGGCGGTTGGGTTGCCTTCTGTCCCTTCGTTCCTTCCCTTCTGCCGGGCACGTGCAGTCGAGCCATCTGTTTGTTTGTCTCCTCCCCTCTCCGGCGCCTCTCTTCCCCCTTCCCCTGCCTCCCTCCCTCGTGCCTTCCTCTCTGAGCATGCGGGAAGCTGGGAAACGGAGTCCTCCCGAGGCCTCTGCGCATGCTGTGTTTTTTGGGTTTTGTGGGTTTGTTATGTTGTGTACTGTTGTTTGGAGGGTCGATGGTCATACCTTGGGGGCAGAGGAATGTGAAGGCCACGTTTGGTGAGTTTTCGTCCGGGGTTTTTTGCGTTATTGACCGCCTCAGGACGACCATTAGATTCTTATATATATAGATTAATGGGCCGGCAGACAGTTGGAAAAGCGAAAATGTTGGAAAGTTTTAAGGTATTAAGGAAAAGCTTATTAAATGTCAAATTATGTTATGATTTTACAAATTAAGCACCAAAACATCATGTTTTACAACAAATCGGCAGAAAAAGAAGTTCAATACACAGTAACTTTATGTAGTAATTACTGTATTTACAAATTTAGCACCAAAAAGTTCCATCTTGCCTCCAGTGTCATCAGTTGGGAGCTTCCCCCCTCCTCCAGCACCAACCACTGCTCTGAGATCAGAATGAAGAGAGGGGCCATGAAGACAGTTCCATCTGTGCTTATAGTATTATATTATATTATATTATATATATTGTATATACATATAATATTGATAATATAATGTAATACAATATACTAATAATAATAATATATTAAAATTATATAGTTTCTATTAAATGTAATATTACTAATAATATTACAGTATAATGTTATAGTACATTATACTATACTATGTAATATATAATATTAATATCGTGCTATAATAATAATATAATATATTGTATTTACTTTTTACTTGTGAGTCGCTCTGAGTCCCCTTCAGGGTGAGAAGGGCGGCATATAAATGTTGTAAATAAATAAATAATAAATAAAGCATCGCAATGTATTGAAACAGCTGTGGATCCGGGAAAGAGGCAGACTGCGTTGGAAAATACAGAATGCTGGATGAGCGAAGGTTGGATGGGTGAGACTCTACTGTATAAACATAATAGCAGGCAGAAGTAATGAAAATCATAATAATAGACTACTGCAACGCTCTCTACGTGGGGTTGCCTTTGAAGACAGCCCGGAAGCTCCAACTGGTCCAACGGACGGCAGCCATGATACTAACAGGAGCGGGACACAGGGAGCATACTACCCCCTTGCTATACCAACTCCACTGGCTGCCGATTTGCTACCGGGCTCAATTCAAGGTGCTGGCATTGGCCTATAAAGCCCTAAACAGTTCCGGCCCAAGATACCTAACTGACCACCTCTCGGCCTATGAGCCCACGAGGACTTTGAGATCTTCCGGGGAGGCCCTGCTCTCGATTCCGCCTGTGTCGCAGGCGCGGCTGGCGGGAATGAGGGATAGGGCCTTCTCGGTGGTGGCTCCTCGGCTGTGGAACACCCTTCCCGTGGACATCAGGCTAGCTCCCTCCCTGTTGATATTCCGCAGGAAATTAAAGACCTGGCTGTTTAAGAAGGCATTTGATCAAGAAGTACAATGATTGGTAAACTGACCATAGGATTGGAACAATGGAAATGATACCCTTCCTGTGGACATCAGACTGGCGCCCTCCCTTATGACATTCCGCAAGAGACTAAAGACGTGGTTGTTTGAGAAGGCATTTGAGTAAGTGCTGCAACAATTGGCAATGACGATTGGAACGGAACATGGATAACGAGATTTGGATTGTGATTCAACGATGAGACGTCGCGAATGACTTAGTGTAATTGTATTATTGATAGTGATGCTGTTTAATGTTGTTTTTGATATTGCTTATGTTGTAAATTGTACCTGATTTTACATGTTGTACACCGCCGTGAGTCGCCCCAGGGCTGAGAACGGCGGTCTACAAGTGCAGCAAATAAATAAATAAATAAATAAATACCGGATTGTGGATTTGATGATGAGACGACACGGAATGGCTATTGTAGAAATGTTAATGTTGATGTTTTTGATGAGGATGTTTTTGTGATAATGATTTTACACTATGGCTTGTATTTTGCACTTGTTTTCTATGTTGTACACCGCAATGAGTCGCCCCTGGGCTGAGAATTGCAGTATATAAGCGAAGCAAATAAATAAATAAAATCAGTAAAATCATGTTGCAATTAAAATTACAACACAGAGCAACAGAGTTAACAATTTGTGGTTTTATTGTTTAAAATTTTGCTAAAAAATGTCTGAGTGAAAAACCTTGCTATGTAATGGCTATAATATATTCACGTAAATGCCACGCTCACTGGAATGACACAATTGGGATACTACAGGTGAAAAGACCCATGGCACCCGAGTCTCAAACACAAAATAGTAGGATGTTACTTACCAGAGCATTGATCAGTGCTGTCAAACTAAGAGTGATGCAGTCTTTTAAACATACATAACAAAATGTTAAGAGTGGAAAAATCTGGACTCTGCTTGTCAGCTGTAACCCTCTCCTGAATATTTGGTTGCACCCACCTTTTCTGACCCTCAGTTCCCACTGGAATCTTTCAATCCATTTCAGGGTTGTTGTTGTTTTTTTTTTTGCAGGGGTAGTGAGTTTCTTCTACATTCTTTTTATAACTTTTTTGTTTGTTTATTTTTATAATACATTTCAAAGATGCCATTAGAAGTACAGTTGTCAATTTTTTAGAAGTGTTCATGCTCAAATAACTTTTACCACTGAACTTCTTTATGGTTGAACAGAAGCTATCCAAAGCTCTAGGTGCTCTTACTGTCTATTACAGGGAAAACCAGCTGATCCCTAATCCATCTAAAACACAGACATGTGCCTTTCACCTTAAGAACAGACAAGCATCCCGAGCTCTGAGGATTACCTGGGATCCCACTGGAGCATTGCAGCGCATCCAAATACCTGGGAGTCACTCTGGACTGTTCTCTGACCTACAAGAAGCACTGCCTGAACATCAAAGTGGGCGCTAGAAACAATATCATACGAAAGCTGACTGGCACAACCTGGGGATCACAACCAGACACAGTGAAGACATCTGCCCTTGCACTATGCTACTTCTGCTGCTGAGTACGCATGCCCAGTGTGGAACACATCTCACCACACTAAAACAGTGGATGTGGCTCTTAATGAGACATGCTGCATTATCACAGGGTGTCTGCGCCCTACACCACTGGAGAAATTACACTGCTTAGCCGGTATGGCACCACCTGACATCCACCGGGAAGTAGCAGCCAATAGTGAAAGGGCCAAGGCAGTGACATCTCCAGCTCATCCCTTGTTTGGGTATCAGCCAGCACGTCAATGACTTAAATCAAGAAATAGTTTTCTTAGATCTACAGAGACACTCGCTGGAACATCTCAGCAAGTGAGAGTCCAAAAGTGGCAGGCTCAAACCCAGCACCTCAATCCTGGAGTGATACCAGATGAGAGACTCCCCCCTGGTTACACAGAAGACTTGGAAGGCGCTGAACAGACTCTGCTCCGGCACCACGAGATGCAGAGCCAACCTTAAGAAATGGGGCTACAAAGCTGAATCTATGACATGCGAGTGTGGAGAAGAGCAAACCACAGACCACCTGCTTCAATGCAACCTGAGCCCTGCCACATGCACAATGGAGGACCTTCTTGTGGCAACACGAGAGGCACTCCAAGTGTCCAGATACTGGTCAAAGGACATTTAATCAACTACCAAGTTTTCAAAATTTGTGGTTTTTTTATCTGTTTGTTTGTTTTGTTCTTTTAGAAATGTAATACAATGGTATGGTTGCTGATGACATGATAAATAAACCACTGAACTGTCATTACAAAGAGAAATACTAGTACCAAATCTAAATCCACTGAAGAGAATATCTGTGGTTCCTATATGCCTTCTAGAACTTCTGACTTAAGGCAACTGTAAGATGAATCTCCTGTGGTTTTTTTCTTGGCAAATTTTGTTGAGTGGGTTTGCTTTTCCCTTCCTCTGAACCTGAGAGAATGTGACTTGTCCAAAATCACCCAGCAGGCTTCATAGCTAAGCAGGGATTCCAACCCTGGTCTTGAGAATCATAGCCCAATGCTCAAACCACTAGATCATGCTGACTCTATAAAAGAATACAAATAACTCAAGAGATAAAATTTCCTACCTTATTCAGAGTCTCTAACAGCTTATCTATCTGAATTATGGCCTGTGAAAGGGCACCATCATAATTTGACCTTGAGGTGAATGCCTTCAATAGCATTTTAGATTCCTCGAGCACTTCCTTTATTGTTGACTCATTAATTACTTCAACTGAAAGAGAAAGAGATGGTGTATTTGTGAGCAAAATTAAAAACGAGAGATAGTTGAAATTAAAGAGAACAAAAAACGAAGCGCAAACACAAGCCATTACTATGTGAAACAATATATTCACCATTTCACAGAATCATAGAATCATACATTTGGAAGAGACCTCATGGGCCATCCAGTCCAACCCCTTGCCAAGAAGCAGGAAAATCACATTCAAATCACCCCCGACAGATGGTCATCCAGCCTCATTTAAAAGTCTCTTTGTCTTTGAAGGAGCCTCCACCACACTCAAGGGCAGAGCGTTTCACTGCTGAACAATTCTCACAGTCAGGAAGTTCTTCCTCATGTTCAGGTGGAATCTCCTTTCCTATAGTTTGAAGCCATTTGTCCACATCCTAGTCTCCAGGGCAGCAGAAAACAAGCCTGCTCCCTCCTCCTTATGACAGCCTTTCAAATATGTATTCACAGCAATCATTTCTCCTCTCAACCTCCTCTTCTGCAGGCTAAACATGTCCAGCTCTTTAAGCCATTCCTCATAGGGTTTGTTCTCCAGACCCTTGATCGTTTTGGTGTCTTATTGGACCCTCTGCTCACAATGGAGGCCCAGGTCTCTGCTGTGAGCAGATCTGCGTTTTTACAACTACGTCAGGCTAGGTGACTGGCTCCCTACCTATCTAGGAACGACCTGGCTATGGTGATCAAGACGACGGTCATCTCAAGGCTTGACTACTGTAACACCCTCTACATTGGCCTTCCTTTGTCAGTGATCTGGAAACTGAAGCTGGTGCAAAACGCGGCGGCTCGTCTTCTTGCCGGGGTGCCGGCGAGGTGTCGTATCACCCCAATTCTACAACAGCTGCACTGGCTACTGATTGAGTACCGGATTACTTTCAAGGTGCTGGTACTAACCTTTAAGGCCTTATATGGTCTGGGGCCGGCATACCTGAGGGCCCGCTTATCCCCCTACCAACCCCAGAGATTACTTCGGTCTGAGGACCAAAATTTGCTTGAGTCCCCAACATCCGGACTTATCATCTGTCCTCTACTAGGCAGAGAGCCTTCTCGATTGTAACCCCTTACTTATAGAATGCCTTGCCAGTTGAAACCTGATCTATCAGTAAAACCTTCTCTTCCGACAAGCTTTCGATGGGTGAATAACTCGGGACTATGTCTGTTCTTGTTTTACTGTATTTTAAAGTTAATTATATTGTTTTAATCTACTGCTGTAAACCACTCTGAGCCAAATTGGGAGTAGCAGTATACAAGTCAAATAAATAAATAAATAAAATTTTAGTTACCCTCCTCTGGACACATTCCAGCTTGTCAACATCTCCCTTAAACTGCAGTGCCCAGAACTGGACGCAGTGTAATTCAAGGTGTGGTCTGACCAAGGCAGAATGGAGGGGTAGCATGACTTCCCTGGATCTAGACACTAGACTTCTATTGATGCAGGCCAAAATCTCATTGGCTTTTTTAGTAGCCTCATCACATTGTTGGCTCATGTTTAACTTGTTGTCCATGAGGACTCCAAGAACTTTTTCACACGTAATGCTGTCGAGCCAGGAGTCCCCCATTCTATATCTTTGCATTTCATTTTTTCTGCCTAAGTGGAGCATCATTTGTTGCTGTTGAACTTCATTTTGTTAGTTTTGGCCCATCTCTCTAATCTGTTAAGATAGTTTTTAATTCTGCTCCTGTCTTCTGGACTATTGGCTATGCCTTTCAATTTGGTGATCATGCCGACCAACCCTTCATCTAAGTCATTAATAAACAAACATTATTTAAAACAACAGAGAAGACAACAAGGCATTCAAATAGTGACTCATTCCCTTCTCCCCATGGCCCCAATCCCATGAAGAATCCAGACAGTATAATTCTTTGATACCCTTCTGCAAAGCCAGTGGTTTACTCAGCCCAGATAGTCCTCCCCTGTATTTCTTTCTTCCAAATACCTGCAAATGCCAGATACATCTCCACATTTGTCTCTTAGAGATCAATGCTGACTATTCACTTATGTTTTCCCTCCCTATTGGCAACATCTGTTCTTCTACCTCATTGGTGAAAACATCTTTTTTCTTACTGTTGTGTACAGGTTAAGTATTCCAAAATGCTTGGGACTAGACGTGTTTTGGATTTTTTTTTCAAATTTTGGAATAAATGTATTTGTACATTTGTATATAATATGAGATCTTAAACATAGAACCAAAGTCTATGTACAAAATTTATTTATCATTCACATATTATTATTATCATCATTATTATTATTAAACTTTATTTGTACCCCGCTAGCATCTCCCACAGGACTCGATGCGGCTTACAAAGGCTAAGGCCTCAACACAACAACAGCAAAACAATAACAATACAATTCAAAGCGAATTAAAAACATAAGCAATAACAAAACATTACATCATTACGCAATAAAACCAGGGCTGGGCCAGTGATGGGTACAGGTTAAAAAGTGCTGGGTGTGGCAGGCGGTATGTTGGATTTCTGGGCAAGTGCAATGTGCAAAGAGTCTTAAACTCTAATAAAGTGCTTCTGCGACATAATGCTGGAGGTTATCCTAATCCAGAAAGGCACATCGGAATAGCCAGGTCTTCAAGCTCTTCCTAAAGACTGCCAACGTGGGTGCTAGTCTAATGTCTTTGGGGAGGGTGTTCCAGAGTCGGGGGGCAACCACAGAGAAGGCCCTGTCCCTCGTCCCCACCAAACGCGACTGCGACGCAGGTGGGATCGCGAGCAGGGCCTCTCCGGATGAACAAAGGGAGCGCATCATTCCGGATGAACGAAGGGAGCACGTAATATACACCTTATTGACTTAACCAGAGGTACCTTTTACCAATAGTTTTAAAACCATTTTGGACATGAAACAAACTTTGTGTACATGGAACAACTAGATAGCAAATGTGTCACTATCTCAGCATTTCCGACTGATAATTTTAGAATGCTTCGGATTTCAGAATTCTGCATGATCTACCTATGCCATTTATTATTAGGGGTCTCTTTTTATCTTCTCCTGAGTGGGGAAACAAAGCCATCTTTAAGCTTCTGCTAAAACAGTGGTTCTCAACCTTCCTATTGTCACGACCCCTTAATACAGTTCCTCATGTTGTGGTGACCCCCAACCATAAAATCATTTTTATTGCTACTTCATAACTGTCATTTTGCTACTGATATCAATTGTAATGTAAATATTTGATGTATTTTCATTTACTGGACCAAATTTGGCACAAATACGCAATACACCCAAGTTTGAATACTGGTGGGGTTGGGGGGGGGGATTGATTTTGTCATTTGGGAGTTGTAGTTGCTGGATTTATAGTTCACCTACAATCAAAAAGCATTCTGAACTCCACCAATGATGGAATTGAACCAAACTTGGCACACAGAACTCCCATGACCAATAGAAAATGCTGGAGAGCACTGTGGACTCAAACAATGATGGATCTGGACCAAACTTGGCACAGGTACTTAATATGCCGAAATGTGGACGCTGGTGGAGTTTGGGGAAGATAAACCTAGACACTTGTGAGTTGTAGTTACTGAGATGTATAGTTCACCTACAATCTAAGAGCATTCTGAAATCCACCAATGACAGAATTGGGCCGAACTTCCCATACAGAAACCCCATGACCAACAGAAAATATTGTGTTTTCTGATGGTCTTTGACAACCCCTCTGACACCTCCTCGCGACCCCTCCAGGGGTCCCGACCCCCAGGTTGAGAAATACTGTGCTAAAAGAAAAATGCTATATCATCAAATTAATGCACTGTGTGATAGAATGAATAAGCAGAATAGGGACAAGATACTAATCTCTTGTCTCAAAAATATCGCCATCTGCTGGACGTTAAAGCAAAACGCGCTATACTACATATTTTATTATCCTATTTCAATCTTTCCGAATGCATTGATACATTGAATTTTCAGCATTCGATTTAGTTTCATTTTGATTTACTTGCATTAGAACTGAGATGTGACATTTACCATAGCCTTCATTTCGTGCATATAGTTCATTGTTGTCCTTCTTCACTTTGGCACTGCTCGCTCTGCCCTTAAGGGGGCGGGATTGTGTGTGTGTGGGGGGGGGGTGGCAAGGTGGGCCTTGGGGCTGTGCCTGGATCTAGGACAGAACCCTATGGCACCCAATTGGTCACTTCGCTCTACTACAAAGCCATTGGTGCTTCCCCATAGGTTTGGCCAGTCAACCAATTCCCAATCCACCCAAAAGTATTTATTTATTTATTTATTTATTTATTTACGACATTTATATGCCACCCTTCTCACCCCAAAGGGGACTCAGAGCGGCTTACAATACACACACACACACACACACACACACACACACACACACTATATTATATTATTAGCATTAGTACAATATCAGTATTTATTTATTTATTTATTTATTTATTTATTTATTTATTATTTGAACTTATATGCCGCCACTCCCCTGGGGCTCGGAGCGACTTACAAGAATGGCTAAAATCTAACAAAATTTAAAAGCAATTTAAAACAATTTAAAACAGCAATATCAAATATTAAAAGCCTGTCGAAACAGAAATGTCTTACATGCCCTGTGGAAAGCTGGTAAGTCCTGCAAGGCACAGACTTCAGGTGGCAGAGTATTCCAGAGTGATGGTGCCACTGCTGTGAAGGCTCTGCGTCTGGTTGCTGTTAGATGCAAGGTCTTGACACTGGGAATTTCCAATAGATCTTGGTCCTCAGAACGGAGGGATCTCTGGGGTTGGTAGGGGGTGAGGCAGTCCCTCAGATACATCGGCCCCAGACCATGCAAGGCCTTAAAGGTGAGTACCATCACTTTGAAAGTGATCCGGTGCTCAATTGGTAACCAATGCAGCTGTAATAAGATTGGTGTTATGTGGCATCTCATCGGAATTCCCGCAAGAAGCCGAGCAGCTGCATTTTGTACCAACTTGAGCTTCCGGATCACCGACAGAGGAAGGCCAATGTAGAGGGCGTTACAGTAGTCCAGTCTTGAGATGACCGTAGCCTGGATCACCGTAGCTAGGTCGTCCCTGGACAGGTAGGGGGCCAGCCGTCTAGCCTGCCGCAGATGAAAAAAGGCGGTTCTGCTAACGGCGGATACCTGGGCCTCCATCGTCAGCAGATTACTATATTGTATTATTAGTAATATTACATGTAATATAAATATGTAATTATAATATCATATTATTAGTAGTATTATATTGCATTACATTATAATATTATAAATATTATATGTATATACAATATATTATATTACATTACATTTTATTATATTAACATAGCACAGAATACAAGGTGGAACTGTCCCCTAGACCCCTCTCTCTTCACTCTGGCCCAGAACGGCAGTTGGTGCTGTGGGGAAGGGTCCCCAACTGATGACATATGCAGGAGACAAGATGGAACTTACTGGGTTGCTGTGAGTTTTCCGGGCTGTATGGCCATACCCCAGAAGCACTCCCTCCTGACATTTCACCCACATCTATGGCAGGTCTAGCCCACATTTTAATAGCTTCTTTGTGAGAATGTCATGGGGAATCTTACTGAAACAAAGATACGCTACATTCACAGCATTCCCTTCATCTACCAAGTTTGGAACTATCCGAAAAAGGAGAGATTAAGGTTCATTTGGCATTACTTGTTTTGGAGGAACCTGTGTTGACTTTTTGTATGCCATTGCTTTCTCGGTGCTTACAGATTGTTTATTTAACGTTCTGCTCTAGAATCTCTCCCAATATTGACATTAGGCTCACTGAGAGGGGATTTTTTAGGTCCTCTCCCCTGCCCTCTCCCCGGCTTTTAAAGACAACATTTGTCTTCCTCCATTCTGCCTCCACTTTTAATACGAACTTTCTTACCTGTACAGAAACATTTATATAAATAGTCAATAGTCGATACAAATCTTCTTGGTATCACCATTCCAATAACAGCCATCCAGTGCTTTCTGTAACACTCCAACACATTGGTTAATGTCCATGGGGGTTTATGATACACTACCTACAAAGTTAAACATATTTATTTGTTCTCTTCTCATATAGTTTCTAATGACACATATTTAGTTTTCAAGTTATAAACTGTGTTTCAAACATAGTTGTTAAGGAACCAATTATTCTTTCTTCTTTTTCCAGAAAATATTTATTTATATCGATATTAAAAATCTGGTTTCAGGTTATCTGAGATGGCAAGATCTCTTCCTATTGTTTTGTTATTTTTGTCCTAATATGAATTCCTTAAGAAAATCTGATATCATTTCAAGTATCTTTTGAATTTGCTAGTTCATAACAACTTATAGTTCCAACTGTGCAACAATCCTTGAGAAAGTAAAGAGTATGGTCAACATCAGTACATGCCTGGACTAGGTAGCATTTTTAACTTATTACAATTAACCAAAAGAAAAAAAATGTTGTGGAAATTAGGTATGTAACACATCAAAGAATCACAGTAAAAGAAAAGAAAAAGTGACGTTGTGTAGTGATTTCAGCCTCCTGATAATATCAAATCCCACTTAAGGCTGAACATATAGGCACAGTGCTGGTCTGAATTTCAGAAGCCTTAAGTGAGTTTTCAACTGATTTGAAACACAACTTTAATTAATTAATTCTGGAGAAATAAAATAAATCTTTACAACACTAAACAACTGAAATAGTAAGGATTGAAGAATAAACAGTAAGGATTGAAGAATAAACAGTGTTAAATGAAACATGCATCTGTATCTTTAATCTACAGAAGACACATAATTCATTAGTGCTTGACACAACATTTCGATGGTGTCCAGAATAAATATAAAACACAAAATATAGACATCACTTTGAGCTAGATCTTCATGAAGACTTCATAGGCACCACTACAGTTAGATCTCAGCACTTCAACAATATTAAAGGAACATTCCTTTCCACAACCTCATCCTCATTTCCTATCTTCACTCCCAGACTCATTTGCCACTGAGCATACTCAGTTCTTACCAGATTGTTCAGGATTTTCCCCCTCCTACACACATATATGTTGTTTTCCCTGTTGTTTTTACTTCTGCAAACCATGACATTCCCTCGACCTCTGGATACCCTTTTTCGACCCTCAAAATGATGCTTTTTAGACTGTATATTTTATAATAATAATATAACAACTTTATTTTTATACCCTGCCAACTATCTCCCCTAGGTGACTCGGGGCGGCTTACAAGGGACATGCCCAAGATTACAATTAAAACACACAAGTGCAACAATACGGTAAACTGGGCAGGAAATACTGTCATAACAGATATTGAGGTAGAACGTACGCCAGTGTAAAGTGCAGGCCGGTGTAAAGTGCGGAACTTCAAGTAGGAACAAGAAAATTACTGGTGAACTGCTTAGTCAAAAGCGCACCAGAATATCCAGGTTTTTAGTTGACTACGAAAGGAAGACAAGAGCCTGGAACCCCAGGTCTCGGCGGTGGTCAGGGGAGCTTTTGCACAATTAAAACTTGTGTGGCAACTGCGCCTGTACCTTGGGAAGTCTGACTTGGCCTCGGTGGTCCACTCTCTGGTTACATCCCGTATAGACTACTGCAACGCTCTCTATGTGGGGTTGCCTCTGAAGACTGCCCGGAAGCTTCAATTAGTCCAACGTTTGGCAGCCAGATTACTAACAGGAGCAGGGTACAGGGAGCATACTACTCCTCTGTTGCGCCAGCTCCACTGGCTGCCAATTAGCTTCCGAGCACAATTCAAAGTGCTGGTGTTGACCTATAAATCCCTAAATGACTCCGGCCCAGTTTACCTGTCCGAACGGATTCTCCCCTATGAACCATCAAGGTTGTTAAGATCTTGTTAAGATCTTCTGGAGGGGCCCTGCTCTCGGTCCCACCACCCTCACAAGTGCGTCTGGTGGGGACGAGGGATAGGGCCTTCTCGGTGGTGGCCCCTCGGCTCTGGAAATCTCTCTCAGTGGAGATTAGAAATGCCCCTTCTCTCCTGACTTTTAGAAAATTGGTGAAAACCTGGCTCTGGAATTTAGCATTTGATGAGTAAGTCAATAACTTTTGACCACACGATCGGATGGTAATGAATAATGAATTGTGATTTCTTTTTGACGACTTAACCTTATGTAAGTATATGACTGCTTTTTAATGTATTTTATGTATTAGTATGTTATGGGGTGTGATGTTTTTTAAACTACTGTTCATGAATCTTGTTGTAAACCGGTCTGAGTCCCTCTCTGGAGGTGAGAAGACCGGTATATAAAAGTTCTAAATAAATAATAATAATAATAATAATAATAATAATAAATAAGGTGGGAGTCAGTCTGATGTTTTTAACTGGTTGTGTTTTATTTGCAATTTTGGGCTTGTCCCTTGTAAGCCACCCCAATCCCCTAGGGGATATGATTGGCAGGGTATAAAAATAAAATTATTATTATTATTATTATTATTATTATTATTATTATTATTATATGGATTAGAACTCAGAGAAAGTGTTGATCTTTTACTATAGGATACTTGACTATAACTAGCATTAAAATAAAAACCGTCATACTAGATAGTATATTGATTATATATAATAATTACATATAGACTATATATTGTTCTAATGTGGAGAAGCTCATGTCTTGTAGGCAAACACTATAACCTTTTTAGTCTTCTTTTTACGGTTAAAGTAAGTATTCACTTTCTAGCATATCAAATAATCACCTCTGTCCACAGGTCTCCATAAGCAATCTTCAGTTCTGTTTCCAATATAGAAGACAACACTTCTCCCAAGCACTTCTTTGTGTCCAGAATAATTATTGAAAGATGATTTGTAGAACTGCCCCCAACTTTATGACGTTTTATATCTGTCAAGCAAGCACAACTCTTTGTTAAGATTTTCACGATGGAATCTTAGTGAAAAGAAATGAACAATCATGCCTCATTAATAGATGTTTTTACAATGTCCAACTTTTTCTAAAAATGTTTTTGGGAAGCAAATAGGACGTAAACTGTCTGTGTTCTACTGGGACATCAGTTTAATAAACACTGTATGGTGTGACATCTGTGGAACACAAAATTACTAAACTCTATTAAAAGAGAAGATCCTGTTCTAATTCCCTGGAATAGAAATAATATTTTCATTGCTTTAGTTAGCATAGTTAAAATCACTTGAAATATGAATGATGATGAAGCTGACCTACAAACTGGAGAGTACATTGATATTCACATGATCTGTTATTTTCAATGTCAGAATTCAGTAAGTTTAAACTATTACATTTTGAAACTTCTCAAAAGGACACTTCTTAAATCCCCATAAGAGCGTAACTGACATCTAAACCAACACTATATTTTTAGCCGACAAAAGCCATTTGTTATGTGTTCCTCCTTTTAATCCAGTCATGGGCAAACTTCTGGGACTTCCAACTCCCAGAAATCCCAGCCAGCTTACCAGCTGTTAGGAATTATGGGAGTTGAAGTCCAAAACACCTGGAGGGCCGAAGTTGGCCCATGCCTACTTTAATCAGTCTGTTAAATTGTTTTCCTCCTGTGATCTATATATATAAAATTATCTGTGCGTAATGAGTACCTTAAAGATAAAAGAACAAATGAACGAAATCGCACCAAATTTGCCAACAAAACATCTCACTACACAAGGAATGACCATCACTCAAAAAATTATGATTTTGTCATTTGGGAGTTGGTGGGGTTCAGAATACTCTTTGATTGTAGGTGAACTATAAATCCCAGTAACTACAACTCCCAAATGTCAAGGTCTATTTTCCCCAAATTCCATCTGTGTTCATATTAGGGCATATGGAGTATTCATGCCAAGTTTGGTCCAGATCCTTCATTGTTTGAGTCCACAGTGCTCTCTGGATGTAGGTGAACTACAGCTCCAAAACTCAAGGGCAATGCCCACCAAACACTTCTAGTGTTTTCTGTTGGTCATGCCAACTGTGTGCCAAGTTTGGTTCAATGCCATTGTTGGTGGAGTTCAGAATGCTCTTTGATTGTAGGTGAACTATAAATCCCAGTAACTACCACTCCCAAATATCATGGTCTATTTCCCCCAAATTCTATCTGTGTTCATATTTGGGCATATGGAGTACTCATGCCAAGTTTGGTCCAGATCCTTCATTGTTTGAGTCCACAGTGCTCTCTGGATGTAGGTGAACTACAACTCCAAAATTCAAGGGTAATGCCCACCAAACCCTTTTAGTGTTTTCTGTTGGTCATGCCAACTGTGTGCCAAGTTTGGTTCAATTCCATTGTTGGTGGAGTTCAGAATGCTCTTTGAACTATAAATCCCAGCAGCTACAACTCCCATATGACAAAATCAATTTTTGAGTGATGGTCACTCCTAGGGTTAGTAGGTGTCTTGTGGCCAAATTTGGCAGCAATACGTCCAGCGGATTTTGAATTATGATGTCACTCAAAACGAACAGAGCATTTTTCCATATATAGATTTCAGATAGACTTTACTGAGTATAGTTGTTTGAGAAATATGAGTATAGTTGTTTGAGAAATATTAGCATTATATGAAACAGTGAAGTTTATCTGAGGTTGTGATGCTGTAAACAAAATATCTGAGGAAAAAACAATGAAAATATTTGGTAACTGACATTTCCCATCTTTCAGGTTGCAATTCTATGCTTATCTAATTGGGCGTAAGCCCCACAGAATGCAAATGGGTTTACTGAGTAGAAATATATAGGACATCAAAATGACTTGGCTCATGGGGTCAATACAATAAAATCCAAATACACCAAACAAACCTTTTTCCAGGTGAGACTGGCCACTGAAAACATCTTGATTTATAACAACAGTCTTCGGAATCAACTTCTGGAGTGCAGCAACGAAATCCATTTTACTACATGCCTTTATCTCACTCACCAAGGCTTTGCTGCACAAATTTTTATCATTCCTGCAATAAGAAAATTGTCTTTGATTCTGCATTCCCGAGTAGTAACAAGAAAAACACTGTGGGTCCGTGATACAAAGGAACTGTGTGACCCGGTTAATCTAAATGAGATTGCTTGAAGCTGGTTGGAAAAGAATTTCCACAAATCTAGCATGATTTCTCCAAAGATACACATCTGTTTATGCTCTATTGTTTATGCTCTACTGGACAACAATGGCTTTCCAGAAATAAATTACATATGTAGTTCAAGGTTCCCCAGAATTCCTGCACGAATATCAATGAAACATACTTTGTGCTCAGAATACTTTGAATTTGCATCTTTATTTGCTTCTGTCTTGGAAATAATTATTTATGGGTTGTTCTTTGATATTATGAAAAATTGCATTGCTCCTTCTAAAAACAAACAGCTCACATTCTAAATGCATACCATTTGAATGAGGTTCATCCTTAATTAAGCTGGAGAGGAATGTACAAACTCACTGGTACAGAGTCTCAAGGCCTTGTGACATTCTCCAATGGCTACCTATTCGTCACAAGAACCTACTTATTTCTGGAACTATTTCTCCCGCATCCATTGTTCTATAAAACTACTACTATGAAGTTGTTTTGAACTTATTATTTTGATTTAATTAGAAAAATATAGTATAAACGTACAACACTTACGTCAACAGTATAATTTCGGTGTGGGGAAATAGGTTTTTATATTGCAAGCAGCACTGCAATACACGATCGTCGTTGTTCTCAATAATGAAATCAACTGTAAATTAGCAAAAGTAGATCAGCACATCATAGTTTTAAAACAACTGGATTTTGAATGGATAGCATTGTTCAAATAGAGCTTGGTTTTTATTTAAGAGGGTCTTGAAATGCAGGGATGTACAAATACTACTTTATTCCTGGCTTCTCTCTCACAAGACAAGAAGATAAGACACTCAAAACCAAATAAGTCTCCCTGGTTCTTTCAATATATTTTCCTCACTTTATGAAGAAGGCAGAAGGGATTATGAAAATTAGAATTCTCCCCCAAGACAAAGTTTGAGGACAAACTATTGTTTGAACCTCAATGGAAACGTTTTGATTACACAATTGCTTCTGTGCTTTCATTCATTATATGCGTATCCATGATCCTAGTTATACTGAATGTAAAGATGAATCATGGTGTTTCTCAGGATGTTTAAATTAGTCTGTTTTCTCTCCTGGTTATTTAAAGTAAATCCATTCTTTGTTATTGTGTCACAACAGGTTTCCAACTTAAGGAGACCCTAAGGTAAACCTATCATGAGGTTTTCTTTCCAAGATTTATGAAGAGGAGATTTGCCTTTGTCCTTCTGTTGGGCTGAGAGGGTATGACTTGCCTAAAGTCACCCAGTGAATTTGCACAATTGAACATGTATTCAAACCCAGTTCTACAGAGTTGCAGTCCAATGCTCATACCATTACGTTACACCACCCCATCCGCTGACACATCATTTATACCTATAAAAATAAGCTCATAAAAATCTCTAGCATCCACTCTACTGGTAATTCTTCTGGCATGCTGAAGCTTTTTAATGACAGGCTGGCACGAATGGTGACAGAGGATGGGATGGGGGTTGTACTTTAATCACAATCAAAATTGTTTACATACATAAAATAGGTATTGAAATGACCATATAAACTACTCTTATCTTATCCTCATTAACTCATACATACACTTCAGTTTTCTATGTAATACAGAGAAGTAGTAAAAGAAATACTATTGATGCAAAGTGGGTTTTTTTCCTCTAAGTAATGCTACATATTTATTTTATTGGGCTTTATTTTTACTATCTACAGGACCAGCACCGTTTGGATGGTGGATTAGGACTCTGAAGACCAAAGTTTGAACCTATATTCAACTGTACAAAGTCATTGGGTAACCTGGGGTTTCGAAGCATCCAACAGAAGGCAATGGCAAACCTCTCCTGAACCACTGTTGCCAAGAAAACTCTGTAACAGGGTTGTCATAAGTTATTATTTATTTGTATTATTTCTATCCTGTCCATTTCAGCTCAAAGGCGACTCAAGGCGGCGTATAAAACTGGCACAATTAAATGCCGTATATATATACATACAACACAGTTAAAAGCAATTAAATTACATCATAAATACATATAAAAACATAAAAGCAATAAAAACTATATAAATCTATAAGTGATTTGAAGGCACACAACAACTTAACTAACAGCTAAAAGATGGTCAGGTGTAACCATGTTTCTTCACATGGTACTCTGTGAATACATATTTATGGAGTGACTGCGCCTGCGTAGGCTTCAAAAAAAGTATCCCAAGCTGAATCCTTTCATTTTTTTTGTCAGTAACCCTGCCCACTCTTCCAAGGGCATAAAAAGTGCCATGGCTGAATGCTTCACAGTTCCTTCACTGCTGTGAGAAAGGGAGAGGTTTGCATGAGAGGGGAGGAATAGGCAGGTTTGTGTCAATTCACAAGAGTACCACTTGAAGTAACATGGTTACAGGTAAGCAACCGAGGTGATGGCAACCAGGAAGGTTACCTTCTGTGAGAGGAGGCAAAGATCTCCCATTGCGAGGGACTCGAAGGGAGAGCAGCAGAGCTGTGAGAGGACGGGTTCGAGGCTCCAGCCTGGAGTCGGTGGACAAACGAGTAGATGCAGACTTGTATATCCTCTCAAGAAGGTATTTATAAGATGGTTCAAAAACAATGATGGGTGGCCCTGTTTTTGGATTGACCATGAGATCGCCACCAGGTAAGACTTGATAAGAGACAAGGGTGAGGTTCTGTTCCATCAAGGTAAGTAGGAAGTTAAGAAAGATTGAAACCAACGGGGCCAGTAGATGGTCTGCTCGGGACCGAAGGAAGGTTCGAAACCAAGATAGCTTGTAGGTGTAAGCCTTTCTTGTCAACAATTTGTGAGCTACCCTCAGGATGGAATGGAGGGCAGGCTGGAGGGGAGTTATGATGTGATCTTCCATGCGGTAAGGTGGAGACATCAGACATCTGGGTGGAAAATCATCCGTTCCCTGCTTAGGAGGTGAGGCAGTGGAGATAGAGAACGGCTCTGTCCTAGATACATGTCTGGATACCATACTTGCCTCGGCCAGGCCAGTGCTAGGAGGATGCAGTTCGGGCTGGAGGTTCGTATCTTCGCCGCCACCATGAGGATCAAAGAGATGGTGGGAAGTGGTAGAGGTATGCTGTCGACCAGTTTAGGAGGAAGGCATCTCCCAGGCAGCACAAGGTGCACTTGGAGACAGACAGGCTCCATACCAGGGAAGCTGAGCATTCTCCGGAGATGCAAACAACCCCATTTGTCAAAGATGCCGTGGAGTTGCGCCGGGTTGAATCTCCAATCGTGAGATGCTGTTGGTGTTCTGCTGAGAACATCGGTGAGGTTGTTCTGCTCTCCAGGGAGGTGGAGTGCAGTGATTGTCACCAAGTGATTGATGTATTATTGCCACAGGTAAAGTTAAAGCTGTAGAAGTTTTCTCGATCCCATGCCACCCGATGGTTTGCAGCTGAGGAAGATGGTTAGTCTCTCCTCGATGATGATGAAGAGGACTGTTGGGTCACCCATCTGTTAGCCGGGGGTTGCGATTTCTCCTTGGAGAGTACAGCCAGTGACTTTCCCACAGTCGGTGGTATTAGCATCAGCGCAGCAATGTCCTCGTAAAAAGGTAAAGGTAAAGGTAGTCCCCTGACACTAAGTCCAGTCATGTCTGACTCTGGGGTGTGGTGCTCATCTCCATCTCTTAGCCGAAGAGCCAGCGTTGTCCGTAGACACCTCCAAGGTCATGTGGCCGGCATGACTGCATGGAGCGCCGTTACCTTCCCGCCGGAGCGGTACCTATTGATCTACTCACATTTGCATGTTTTTGAACTGCTAGGTTGGCAGAAGCTAGGGCTGACAGCGGAAGCTCACGCCGCTCCCCGGAATCGAACCTGCAACCTTTCGATCAACAAGCTCAGCAGCTCAGTGCTTTAACCCACTGCGCCACCGGGGGCTCGTAGGCCCATTTAAATGCTATCCACATCGAGGATGTGGATGGTGGAGTGATAGTGTTAGATCGGATTGGCCAAAGAGCTGGAGGTAAACGGAGGTCTTGGGCAAGGTCAAGTAGTCACAGTCACCGAGGTAAGAGTATATGTTGTCTTCAATGTCTGGAAAGACTTCAAGCCCTTGGAGGCTGCTAAGGCTGTTGATCGAGCTACTGGCAAAACCGGAGCTGGAGGGGTTGAAAAAGTCGAAGGTGCCAGTGATTGCTGGTACAGTAGAGCCTTAAGGTGTGCCACACTGTTCTTTCTAGCCTGGGCTGTGAATGCCGGGCAATGGCGGCAAGACTCGACAACATGACCTTCTCCCAAGCAAAGGAGACACTTTGCATGGCCATTTGAGTCTGGAATATTCAAGGCATACTGAGTGCATCACTTGAAGCATCTTATGAACATTCTCAAAGAAGTTCCGAAGAGAGACACGCAGCGAAAAAACGGAAACCCAGGAGCGTGTAGGCAGGGTGCCTTTTATGTCCTGGGAGGAATGGGTGGGATTACCATCAAAAACTGAAAGGATTCAGCTTGGGAAGCTTTCTGTTGAAGCTTGTGCAGGCACAGTCACTCCATAAGTGTGCCTTCACAGAGACCACGAACAAAAATTTAGAATTATAAGACAGATATAGGATCAATGTATATACATATATTAAGTTGTCATTAATAAAGCAGTTATGTGTCCACAAAGCAAGATAACATATCTCAGATGAACCAAACTGTGTTGCATATTCTGCTACAAGCCACCAGCCCTGTTCCAACTTACGTGTTTTCTGAGAAGCAAGTTGCATAGATTGTCCCCACAATTTTGGATCTTGGATTTTCAGACACATATAGATGAAGTGAACTGCAGGAATTGCTTTTTGCCCAACATTCGCCAATATTTTTCCTCTCTTCAAGTTGTCCAGTTCTTGCAAAACCACCCAGGGAATGATAAGCACAAAGTTACCTATACCTTAATGAGAAAAAGATCATTTTGCAATTATCATGCTGTATTTATTTATTTATTTAAAACTTTTATATCCTGATCTTCTCCACCTCCATCCCGATCACACCACTCAGAACGGCTAGATCTTTGAAGATCTTTGAATAATTGTTTTGCTTTTTAACTGGGTGAAAAGTTAATTCTCTTTTAATTCACTTTTACTGAATATTCTGTTAGGGACTATGAGTGCAGACTAGATCATTTTTTAATAGTTTAGTTATGGCTACAGGAAAGGAAACTGTAGTTTGCCACTCAAAGGCTATATATCTCCCAACAGGCCATCCTGGGTCAAGGATATTAGACCATGTCATTATAGAAATTTTTTATCAATAATTTCAGCAAGCTGAATAATAAACATAATTAGACAATTTTGCACTGTAGTCATCTCAACAAGTGTTCTCAAATCACCCCCTGAGCTTATATTGCAGATATTCAATCTTTGAACTTTAAAGACTGTCAGCATTATTACAGAATGGGACTTTATTGCTATCACCTCATGAGATATAGGAAATGTTACAGAACTTCAGGGATATATATATAATATGCAGAGTTGGAGTGAGATTATAGATAGTAAAGTCAGAAGAAAATTAAATATGGAGTTCAAAGATATGACCATATTATTTGCACTAACAATATGCAAAACTGTTGCTGATGACACGAACACAACTTGACACTGAAGCAAGCCACTCAACCCAAGGAATCATTATCCAACTTCAACATATGGTGATACATTGGAACTTTCTAATTAATGTTAAGCCACTGATCTCTCTTTTTGTATGTGATTTGCCTTTTATGCTTCTCTGCTTCACAAGTGCTACTTTAAAGTAAGCGACGAAGTGCCCAGGGAGGATGAAGTCTTCATCCACTGGGTTTTGAGTATTGTCAAATTTGTGTCCATTAATTTTTTCAGGTAGAGAATGTCCAATCTGCCCTGTACAGAATGCTAAAGGACTTTGCTCACTGAATATACATCACATCGGAAGGCATCAATGAAAGATTATGTTGTGATTATTTTATTTTACTTTAAGATATCACAAGACTCGGTTGTTCTTCCTGGCTTTGAGAACTATGTAACCATCTGGTTTGCCGTACTATCAGGTTAGGAAGTTATCTAATAATACTCCAAGATCCTTCTACAATTAGATAGATGAAGTGTCACTCTCTTTGGGTGATTTGTGCATCTCAAAAAGATGACAAACACCTAGACTTGGAGTATTAGAAGGTACAGGATAGGAAAAGCTGTGTCATATTGAGCCATTTAAAAAATCGAGTATGTACCTGCTTAGATAAATGTGACCAAACACACATCCCTCCCCCAAGGACTGGCTATGGATATTCCTAAATGCAAACAGAACAAGGAAGCACAAAGGCCATCAGCTATAAAAGGAGAACGTTGAGGTTCTGTCTTCAAGGAAAACTAAGACATATGCTGTTGCTAGGAAGCAAGGGATCTTGGACAAGATATCCTTAATTTTATTTTCTTGAAGTCTAATGACATATCTAAATGCACCCTTATAAATTTACATCTAAATTTACGTTCATTTTCCAAAGAGCTGTTATGTATTTAAAGCCACACAAACCTGGGATATCATTATTCTTCAAAGACTTGATGAAGTCCAGGTGGTTGATCATTATATTAGTATCAATTACAATCAAAGTATTCAAGCCAGCAATATTTTCTGTTATAAAAGAAGAAACAGAGTAGTTCAATCACTTGAAATCTTTTTTGGCATTTCACGTTGCTCTATCATCCTGCTAACAAGGAAAAATATGATGCAGATAAGTACACTTTGTGAGTCCTCCTAGGGGTGAGAAAAGTGGTATATAAATACTGTAAATAAATAAATAAAATAAGCCTCTTACTAGAAAACCTGTTTGAGTCATCATCTGGAAGATCTATCTCCATGCTGGTCAGCTCTCCACATGTCTGCACTACAGACAAAGCCATCTTATTATCAACGCGAGCTGCATGCAGGTCTTCCACAATCTGCATCTGTGAAAACAGTAATATAAACGTGTAGTAATATTAGGGCTGTCCCAGGAGCTATTATCTGTGGGTACAGGCTGAGGTCTACATCCCAGCAGCACCCCCAGCATCAATTCCTCAATCTCTTATTCTCTTTATCATCCTCCTCTTCACCTTTGGAGCTTATTCTCCTGTCCTGAGTGAGCAACAACAAGAAACAAAGAAAAGAGTAGCAGCTTCCACTTTCTTTACCCTATTCCTTTGTGTGATCATTTTGATGGGACTCAGAAGAAGAGGAAAAGCAGATGGGCAATAGCACCACCACAGAGGGAATAACAGAAGTGGCTGCTAGAAACAATATCATACGAAAGCTGACTGGCACAACCTGGGGATCACAACCAGACACAGTGAAGACATCTGCCCTTGCGCTATGCTACTCTGCTGCTGAGTATACATGCCCAGTGTGGAACACATCTCACAATGCTAAAACAGTGGATGTGGCTCTTAATGAGACATGCCGCATCATCACGGGGTGTCTGCGCCCTACACCACTGGAGAATCTACACTGTCTAGTCGGTATTGCACCACCTGACATCCGCCAGGAAGTAGCAGCCAATAGTGAAAGGACCAAGGCAGTGACATCTCCAGCTCATCCCCTGTTTGGGTATCAGCCAGCACGCCAATGACTTAAATCAAGAAATAGTTTTCTAAGATCTACAGAGACACTTGCTGGAACACCTCAGCAAGCGAGAGTCCAAAAGTGGCAGGCTCAAACCCAGAACCTCAATTAATGGCTGATACCAAAGGAGAGACTCCCCCCTGGGCACTCAGAAAACTGGGCGACTTGGAAGGCACTGAACAGAATGTGCTCTGGCACCGTGAGATGCAGAGCCAATCTCAAGAAATGGGGCTACAAAGTGGAGTCCACGACATGCGAGTGTAGAGAAGAGCAAACCACCGACTGACCACCTGCTGCAATGCAACCTGAGCCCTGCTACATGCATAATGCAACCTGAGCCCTGCTACATGCACAATGGAGGACCTCCTTGCAACCCCAGAGGCACTCTAAGTGGCCAGATACTGGTTAAAGGACATTTAATCAACCACCAAGCATGCAAACTTTGTGTTTTGTCTGTTTGTTTGTTTGTTTTGTTAAAAATGTAATACAAATGTCTGGTTTCTTCTGACACGATAAATAAATAAGTAAGAAATAACCTCCCCAGCAGTAAAGACATTAAGTACAGAGGGAAGTTAAGTGTAACCCAAGCTATTACAATGTGCCTGCAATAAAATATAGGTTGCATTTGTATCAAAATGTGATTTATGCTTGACAAAGAAGTCAGGAAAAGTTAGCACATGCAACACCACCTGAAAGATTGCAGGAGTATGGTGAACAATTATATTTTGATTAAAGCTCTTACTGGGGAACTGAACTAAGAACTATATTTTATATATACATAAGGATGAGTTCAATTACAGTTAACAAATGCATGCATATACTCTTACTAAGATTACATAACAACTAACTTCTTGGTCTGCACCAGTATTTCCAGTAGCTTCAAATGCAGAAAAGGAAGGACATGATGTCTCACATCTCTGTAAAACAAATAATAAGAAAGACAAAAGAAGTATCCATGTCAATCCATGTCAAACATCTTCTAATGAAAAGGAACAAAACTGTTGCACTGGAATGCGAGCTTGAAGCAGTTTAAAGGAGAGGGAAGAAAAGTACAAGAAACACATTCATCTTAGCGAGCTTTTGAGTGTGTATGTGCGTATGTGTCTACAACAGGGGGTTCTTAAACCTTTTCCACTTGCAATCCCTTTCTGCCCAAGAAATGTTTACATGACTCCAAGAATACAGGTATATAAGATAGGTATAAAAATCAAACATCTACTGATAACAAATTCACATTTGCAAGGCTTGCTAAACAGGTTTCCTTTCTGTAGAGTCCAGCTAAAGCATATTCTGCAGAGTCTGCTGTAAGCACTGCTTGCTGTTGCTAACAGATTTGTGTAAATGGATGGCATTCGAAAACTTCACTGGTCCCTATTTTTCATTACCCCAGAGTTGAGCTAAAGCAGTGGGTCTCAACTTTCCTAATGCTGCGACTCCTTAATACAGTTCCTCATGTTATGGTGATCACCAACCATAACATTACTTTCGTTGCTACTTCATAACTGCAATTTTGCTATTGTTATGAATCGTAATGTAAATATCTGATATGCAGGATGTATTTTCATTCATTGGACAAAATTAGATACAAATACCCGATATGCCCAAATTTGAATACTGGTGGGGTTGAGAAGGGTTGATTTTGTCATTTTGAAGTTGTAGTTGCTGATTACCTACAATCAAAGAGCATTCTGAACTCCACCAATAATGGAATTGAGTCAAACTTGGCACACAGAATTCCCATGACCAACAGAAAATACTGAGTTTTCTGATGGTCTTTGGCAACCCCTTTGACACTCTCCTTGCAACCCCCTCATGGGTCCCGACCCTCAGGTTGGGAAAACGCTGAACTAAAGGGACCCCATTTGAGGTCAGAAGCCACAGTTGAAGTCTCTAAAAAACAAAAAAACAAAAGGTCCTAGAAGATTAGCATTAAAAATATGGGAAAAATGGAAAGCAATCTGGATGCCTAATATAGTAAAGTGGACACCCCTAGAAAGTTTATATGGAAAACAGTATGGCCCCATATGGTGGAAAGATTTGAAAGATAAAGGCTATTATTGCATTAAGGATATGTATGATATAAATGGTCAACTGATTCCCATGGATAGGATAAGAGAAAAAATGGGAAATAAAAATTGGATAAAAGTATTAGGCCTATATAACAAACTTAAACAGGGGAAACATGGAGAATGTCTAGGCAAAGAAAGTGTGCTTGAAAACATATTTATGAAAGGACAGAATACAATGAAAGGTTTAGTAGGAGAATTATATAAAACAATGATAAAGGATGACGAATACGTAGTCAGAACATTACAAAACAAGTGGCAGAAGGAGGGGACACTCACAAAACTATTGAGGAATTAAAGAAAGGGGTAAATAAAATTAAAATGGAAAAATATAAAGAATTAGAAAGGAAATTCATCTGGAAATGGTACAGGACACCAGCTCAACTAGCAAATATGGGAACAGGATTAAGTCCAATGTGTTGGCACTGTAAAGTAGAGAAAGACTGGTATGCACATATGTGGTGGGACTGTTTCAATGCAAAAAAAATTGGAATAAGATAACTAGAAAAATTGGGAAACTTTTCAAAATAACAATCCAAGTCAATATGGAATTTATGTTAATGGCAATTACAGGGAATAAAAATATTGATGCGAAGAACCAAAACTTATTTAAAGCAATGATTTTAGCAGGAAAGGCGGTAATAGCCTGGGGGTAGAGAGATGAAAAAAAATGGAATTTGGAAAATTGGAATAATTATTTATTTTAACAAGTCCAATTAGATATTATTGAATGTATAACCCAAGAAGGTTCACAGGAGGACAAAACAGAAGAAATTAAAGAGAAATGGGCAACATATATGAAATGGGTAGAAGAAGGTGATATTGCACAAAGATATTGCACAAAGACTTCAAAAGTTGTGTTCATGGTTAAAAATAAAGATATAGAAAGAAAAGTGGTGGTAGGGGTAGGTAAGGGGGGTGGGAGGAGGGGGAGAAAAAATAATAATAAATGTAATATGAATAAACCTGTAAAGAATGAGAATAGATAATATAGAAATATGCTATTATAGTGTATGCCTACAATAGACAATTATTATCTGTTCAAATATGTGATTTTTTTCAATAAAAAAAGACATTGGACTAAGAAGCCACATTTGAAGTAGCAAAGTTCTAGAGAACACAGAAAGACTGCATATAATTTCACAGGAACAAGATAACAATGATTTTGCTTTCACTTGATGCTTCCAACTAAACAACATTATTATTTGCTGCTGCACTTATGCTTAAAACTCTTTCCCGATCTTTCCCTGCCCCTCTGTTTCCTTTAAAATTCCTATTTATTGCTCAGTTTTTGATAAACAAAAGCATAGCTGAAGAGCAACAATGATACACAAGACACTGTATTCTCTCAGCTATCTATTTTGCCATTGTCTTTGCACAAAAGCACAAGAAAGCACCATTATGAAACCACCATTACCACCCAAGTTCCCATTCTAAATAAATTAATTTGTCGTGTTACCTGATTTGTCCGAAATGCTACAGATTCATATTTATTTCCTTGGGTCTTCAAACAGGAAACATTCTTGATGCTTGATTGTTCTTGATTACACAATTGTTCTTTCTCTTTATACTTCCAACCTTTTGTCAGTTTTGTCATGGGACAAAGAGGATTGCATCTCATTTTGCTGCTCTTTTTGATATTGTCTTCTAATGATTTATGTTCTGCCTTTTCAGGAGCCTCTTTTCTGCATGTCTGTGTGTGCAATTTCTCAGGATCTGAGAAATTAATTGTTGAGGTGGATGGGTATCGCTCTTTTGAAGTTTTCTGCTTTATGCTGAGTTCTTTCAGTTTTAAAGGTTTCTTATGAAGGAAAGAGCACTCTATGGGAAGCATATTTCTCTCAATTATATCTTTTAAATTGCTGCACTCAGCTTTGCTCTTTTTCTTTTTCCGGTTCCAGATCTTCAAATCTTTTGACTCCTTCCTCTCTTTTGGTACATCACGCACATTTGTGTCAGAGTCTTCCTTGCTAAGGGAGGAAGCCGCTGAATACACCTTACTTCTCTGTCCACTATGTTTTGCCTTGCTTTTAAAATGCATAGTGATCTTTTCACGCTGCTCAAGAGACATTAAAATACCAACGGGCTGTGTTTGTTTTGAAATATTTTTCTGGAGATCTTTAGTAGTAGCTTCTTTGACATCCGAACAGTTTTTTGGTTTTTTACACCTGGGAGTATCATGCAACCTGCAAACACATCACAAAGAAAATATATTGTTAACAAATCTGTGACAGTGATTATAATTTGCTGTAAGTCAAGAAATATTTGAGGAGAAAATGATGAAAGCAACTCCAGTTCTCACACAGTCTGACTTGGCCACAGTGGTCCACGCTCTAGTTACATCCCGAACAGATTACTGCAACGCGCTCTACGTGGGGCTGCCTTTGAAGACGGTTCAGAAACTTCAGCTAGTTCAACAGTCAGCAGCCAGACTACTAACTGGGGTGACATACAGGGAGCATACCACCCCATTGTTGTATCCACCTCTGAGCCCAATTCAAAGTGCTGGTTTTGACCTATAAAGCTCTATACGGTTCTGGTCCAGCTTACTTGTCCGAACGCATCCACCCCTATGTCCCACCTCGAAACCTAAGATCATCCGGGGAGGCCCTGCTCTCGCTCCCGTCAACAGCAAAAATGCACCTGCCGGGGATGAGAGACAGGGCCTTCTTGGCGGTGGCCCCCCGCCTATGGAACACACTCCCAACTGAGGTAAGATCGGCCACCTCCCTCCTAGTTTTCGAAAGAAACTGAAGGCATGGTTTTGGGACCAGGCTTTTGGACAATAGATGCAAATTTAAGGGAATGTGGCTGGAATGATGATATGGCTGATGAGACTGTTTTACTGTTTTAACGATGTCTTATGTATTGTTAATTATGCTTATATGTCTAATTGTGGTTTTAATTTTGTAATTTGTTATGTAATGGCTTCGGAATGGGGCCCATTGTAAGCCATCCTGAGTCCCCCTTCGGGGGTTGAGAAGGACGGGATAGAAATGCAAGAAATAAATAAATAATAAATAAATATATCGTGATGGATAACAAGAGCAGTTTAAATTATTTCTACACCTTTCATTGTCCAGTTTTAGATGAACAGCTCTCATGTAGAAGGTGAGTTAGTCATCAGATACATTTAGACAGTTTCATACCACTAGAATAACCATCACAATAGAGATATGTACTCACAGAATCCTAGGGTTGGAAGAGACCACAAAAGCAACCTTGTCCAACCCCTTGCTATGCATAAACACACAATCTAAACATCCTCAACAGATGGTCATCCAGCCTCTCTTTAAAAACCTTCAGAGAAAGAGACTCTATCACACCCTGAGGCCCCTGACAAATAGCTGAGGAAATTCTTCATAAGGTTTAGGTGGAATATATTTTTTTCTGCAGTTTGAATACATTGCTCCATGTTGTAGTCTCTAGAGCAGACCTGCACAACCTGTGGCCCTCCAGGTAATTGGGAATTCAGCTCCCAGAATTCTGACTATTGAAAAGCTGGCTAGAGCTTCTAGGAGTTGAAGGCCCAAAAACCTGGAAGGCCACAGGTTGTGCAGTCCTACCCTAGAGCATCAAGAAACCATCTCCTCCATTTGACATCCTTTCAAATATTTCAACATGGCTAAATATTCAGATGCACATCTCTATGAAGAAATCCATGCAGAACAGGTATGGGCAAACTTTGGCCCTCCAGGTATTATGAACTTCAACTCCCACAACTCCCTAACAGCCTACTGGCTGTTAGAAATTATGGAAGTCGAAGTTCGAAACACCTGGAGGTGTTTCATCCTTCTATAGACATTCTTCCTTGCGGATATAGAGAGCCAACATAACAGAATTTCCAGTACAATTAAATGGAAAGCACATACAAAATTGCAGGTACAGCCTCAAACTCCCTCTTTTTTCAGTACTCCACAGAAAACTCTATGAAATTCATGTGGTCAACAGGAATTGACAGATGACTAGAAAGCATATACACACATGTAAAATAAAGGTAGAAAAGAAGCTATCAGATATGCAAAAATTGGAACTATGGTGGGAACATGGCGTCTCACCCAGCGGCTGTTGGGAGCCCCTCCCACCACCTTCAACTGCCATTCTGCTGGCCACTGAGTGGGAGGCAGCCAGCCAGCCAGCTGGACACAGCCACAATGTGTCTTATGTAATAATTAAGTAATAATTATGTACATTGTGAGCCCAAGGGCAAATTAAAATTGTGTAAGCTGCTGTGAGTGACTTTGTGACTGAGGAGTGGGGTAAGCATCTATATAAATAAAAATGTAATGTTCGTTTGTGGGATTAACATAACTCAAAAACCCCTGGACGAATTGACACTAAATTTGGACACAATACGCCTAGCAACCCAATAAGTGACCATCACTAAAAAAATGATTTTGTCATTTGGGAGTTGTAGTTGCTGGGATTTATAGTTCACCTGCAATCAAAGAGCATTCTGAACTTCACTAATGATGGCACACAGGTCTTCCAAGACCAACAGAAAACAGTAGAAGGGTTGGTGGGCATTGACCTTGAGTTTGGGAGTTATAGTTTACCAACACCCAGAGAGCACTGTGGGCTCAAACAATGATGGATCTGGACCAAACTTGATACGAATACTCCATATGCCCAAATATGAACACAGATGGAGTTTGGGGGAAATAGACCTTGACATTTGGGAGTTGTAGTTGCTTGGATTTATAGTTCACCTACAATCAAAGAGCATTCTAAACCCCATCAATGATAGTATTGAGCCAAACTTTCCATACAGAATCCCCATGACCAACAAAAAGTACTGTTTTTTCTTATGGTCTTTGGTGACCCCTCTAACACCTCTGTATGACCTCCGCAGGCGTCCTGACCTCCAGGTTGAGAAATGGTGCATTAAGGCCATCCAGTCCAACTCCCTTCAGCAGAGCAAGAAAACATAACCAAAGCCCTCCTGACAAAGAGCCATCCAGCTATAGATATAATTCACACACACACACACACACACACGTATATGACAGATATAGTATCATAGATTTGAAAGGGACCACTAAAGAAGGACAATTATATGTTGCATGTTCCAGAGTAGGCAAACCCGGTAATCTCTATATCAATACTGACAAAGAAACAAGAAGAAATACTGTTTACCCACAAACATAAAGAAGTTACATATATTAGAACCCAATACTTTCTCATTACTTTATTTTCCAGATCACCAGACTGGGCCACAGCAACGCATGGCAGGGGATGGCTAGTTATCTAAATAAATAAAATACTGGACTGTGCTCGAGCTGCCTCAGAGGCTGCATTAAAACCAATGCAGTCAATCATTTCACAGACACACTCAGCCCTTTCTCATACTATTCATTTGTTGGAATCCATGCGGTAAAAACTGACACATTAAAGGTAATGCTTCATTATGATTTATTTAAAACCCTGTCTGTTGGTTGCTTTTGCATACAATGGCCTGTTCCGATTGACCCTTGTTTTCTATGATTCTAGCACTGTGGTCAAAGTCATCCTTTTTTAAATTCCATAATATGAATTACAATATGTAAAATAAATATCCAGTTTTAATTTTTAAAACTGTGATGGAAAGCAAATGAAACCGACTGTGATTAACTACTGTATATTCGAGTATAAGCCGGCCCAAATATAAGCCAAGGCACCTAATTTTACCACAAAAAACTTATTGACTCAAGTATAAAATGGGAGTGGGAAATGCTGCAGCTACTGGTAAATTTAAAAAAATAGATAGCAATAAAATTAAATTAACTGAGGCATCAGTAGGTTAAATGTTTTTAAATATTTACATATAACTGTAATTTAAGATAAGACTGTCCAACTCTGATTAAATCATTATTCTAACCACCTTCAATGTAAATGCACTTATGTATCCTTCCAATTATCACCTTGGTTTATTTTAACTATACATTTTGGTGGAAATACTGTGTGTATATGAATAAGGAAAGTGGCAAAGACTGGCGTTGAGAGAGGAGGAGAGAAAGGTGCGCAATGTACCAAGAGAGGAGGAGAGGACGGTGTGTGCTGCATGAGAGAGATGGAGAGGAAGGAGAGCTGGATTGCTGTGCAGAGAGGTGAGGGTCCTGGCAGGAAGGTGTGAGGCTGAAAGAAGCCCTTCTTTCAGCCCCACGCCTTCCCACCAGGACCCTCACCCAATATACGCCGAGGAACACTTTTTCAGCCTAAAAAAAGGGCTGAGAAACTAGACTTATACTCAAGTATATACAGTAATAATGAGGAATGTATCTTTTACATCTGAAGTACAGGACATATATCAACAAAAAAAATCAACATTCCCCTCATTGTATATGGTTGACAACCTTTGAGGCTTTACCTGAAATAGATATGCACCTCAATATATAAGAAACATGTAACTTACTTTTCCTTTATAATAACCAACACTATAAATAGATTGATTTTGATACTCCATCAATGAGGACATTTGATCATAAACACAGTAGAATTTGCTCAATGCATGGGAAACAGATAAAAGCCAATGTGGTGCAATGGTTTGAGTCTTGTAATAGGGCACTGGATATCAGGATTCAAATCATGCTCAACTATGGAAACCCACTGGGTAACTTTGATCAAGTCTATGATTCTATTATTCTAAGTCACATGTTCTCAGCCTCAGAAGAAGGCATTGGCAAACCTCCTCCGAACAAATCATGTAGAGAAAACTTTGTGATGGACTCACTTTAGGGTCACAAAATAACAACATAAAACGTGTCTACAAAAATAGAAATATAGAATGTGAAAAGTTAAAATGTAACTATTAATAGAACAAGTGCTATTTAGATGTATGACCATTTAAAATAGAAAAAGCAACATACACCATTAGTGGCCATTTCCCTCATGAGAATCAGTTCTCAAAGAAAAAAGTGTTCACCTGCCTATAGGACAGCAAGAAGGGTATCCATTTAGACTTTCTAAGAAGGCAGTTTTAGAGCCTGGGAGCATCCATTGAGAAGGGTCTCTCTTGTGTTCCTATGAGAGGACTGAAAGAAGGGGCTCCTCTAAATAATATGATCCTTTCAGATAACCTGGGCTAGAGCCTTTTAGAGCTTTATTGATTGTACCCAGTACTTTGCACTGTGTTCAAAAATAGACTGTAAGTCAGCTGAGCTGTTGAAAATAGGTTAAAATGGTTTTAGATAAGTCTTATACAGGAACCTCTGGGGTTGGGTGCTACCCAGGCATGTAGCCGGGGGTGGGGGCTTGAGGGGCTTCAGTCCCCCCCCCCCCGAAATTCTCATGGTGGTTTGCGAAAAGGCCTTACTGGTGCATTATTTAAACTGTTATGTTTATTCATATCATGATCTGATCACCATACTCAATATATCCCATATGCATGGGGGTATTGGGGTAATGATACAAAAGGTTTGCTAGGCTAGACCCTCTTTCACTCAGACTCAGCCCCCCCCCCCCCCCCCCCCCCCCCCCCCCCCCCCCGAAACGAAATCCTGGCTACGGGCCTGGTGCTACCACATAAGCCACTACGTTGCTCAGAAACAGAATGGTGAAAATTAACTGGTAGTTATCCAGTACAGTGGAAAAGAGGGAGATTCTTTATTCAATAAGCCAAGAAGATCAACGATCTCTCTCTCTCATCTCTTATAGGTTCCTATCCACTCCCTTAGGGGCTGTGCAAACTGAAAAGTATCATTTATCACTGGAGAAGTAGGATCCAAAGTTACACTAATTAGAATTGTCTTAATTTAGATTTTACCTGCACAGTGCTGGACAAATTGTTCACAGCAGGCTTTCAAGTAGTATCAATTTTCCCCTTTGTGGGCAGGTATGCAAATGATACTGTCAAATGTGCTATATTCCAATTATTTGCACAACTTAATTATTTTTATTCAAAGAAACAAACCCTACCAGTATACAAAGACATATACAAAGAAACAAATTGCACCAAACAAAAGGACAATATCCTCCCCATAAAAACAAATATAAAACACCAACCTACAACTAACAAAACTACTAAATCAAACAAGACACAAACATACATACAAAACCAAAAATGAACTAACAAAGATACAAACTAATCTACTGACCTTTCACCCCCGTTCTGATGTGTTTTTTTTTTTAGTTCTGACTAGTTTACTCCCTTTGAGAAATATTGTATACTCACACTCAGTATCATGAAATGTGTCATGAAATGTGTCAGGTTAAAAAAGAAACCTGATTTACTTATAACTTGGTTAACCAGTTAAAATTCTTGAGTAAACCAGGTTTGGGGGGTAGAACCCTTTTTTGGGGGGGGGAGGGGGTGAACCCTTAACCACCACCACTTCCGGCTACGGCCCTGCTCACACGTCTAAATGCAGTAACATATTACTAGCTCATAAATCTCACAATTAGTAAATCCTTCCAACCTCATATTCATCAATAAATACCCAATCTCTCTTGAAATAAGATAAATACTTTCCCTCCATCAGAATAATAATCAATAATCAATCATAATCAATAATCAATCAGATTTCACAAATCTTTGTTGGCTGTTATCATAAACTCTAGATATCTTTTTTTCCATTCCATTTTCCATCCAGAAATAGTCCAAACAAGAGATCCTCTTCTTCACTTCCCTTTCATTGTATCCCAACATTCCCATGACAATGCTTCCTCACACTGTTGCATCACAAATCTAGCATTTTATGACATCTACCACTGCTTCTCTATGCTAATTTTTCTGTTTGGCCTCATGTCACACTTGTTGATAGATCTTATAAGTCTCCTGCTGAAGCCTTTATATATTGCTTCCAGGAGACTTAATTTTCTCCCATTTTGCTGTCTGCTACTGGGTTTTGGATTCCAATATCACCAAATTCTGGCTTTTCTGAATTCTCAGCTTTGCCAGAGAACTATGTATTTCTCTCAATATCACTGTTACCTGTTTTCTCATAATTCTCAGTTCATCAAAATTTGGTTAAATCAAACTGGTTCCAAATAATGGGCCAACGGGCCTTTCAGAGCCATTTTGCCTTAAAGTTATTAAATGTATCTCAACACAACACGGCTGAGTCTTGGGGGGGACCTAAGTCTTGACAGAAGATGGAGAAGTTGGAGGGATGGGAGTAGGAGTTCACATGTGGATTCAAGAACAGCTGCAAGAGATAACGATGGGGCAGAGGTCAGCCTATCTTCTGATGATGATGTGTAAGATAAAAGTAGGCTCTGAAATGGGGAATCTTTGCAGAAGGCAAAGTGTTGGTTTATGTTCGTGCATTGGGTATTTGTCGCTACCTGTTCCATGTTGGCATTGGGTCCTGGATCTACAGGTTACTGCTTCCGTTCGTGTGTGCTTTCGACTCGGCTTGGATTCTTGTGAGTGCTGATTTCTCCCTTCCTTGACTTCGGACCAGTTTGACTACAACGCTGCCTACGTGGACTTTGGAACTTCGCTACTTTGGATTCGGCTTGCTACGACCTCGGACTTCGCTTGACTACGCTTTCTTCCCTGCGGCTCTTTTGTTTGTTAACTGTTTACTTGCTGTGCTATTTTGTGGGACTTTCAGAGCACTTTGTTTATATCCGGTTCTTTTCTCCGGATAATCCGGATTATTGCTTCAGTTACCTCTTTTGAACCAGGACTGGTTTCTGCTTTTGTGTTTTGACCAGAAACACTGAGTTAAGTGTTTCTGAGTCCTTTTCTTTTGTTTAATAAACTCTATTTTTGAACTAATTCTGAGTCTGGCCCTTTAAGACGTCTGTGTCCCGACATTCATTCTATTATTTCAGAAATCAAAACTTTCAAACAAAATGTCCAATTTCATGCCTTAGTTCCCTAAATAGTAATAGATTTTTTAAAAACAGATCTTAAAATTAAAGGAGGGTCATTTTTCTGTTATGTACCCTTCACGTACAATGTGTAAATGTATTTGATTAAAAAGTAATGCAACTGATCTGTAACAATTTTAGACTTGACAATAAATAAATGCATTTCACACGATGTTGTATTTCCAATGAGGGCAACTTAGATTTCCAAATATTGAAGAAAAGGTAATTACTTGTTAAAACAAATTCAAATGTTTTAAGCAACTGCTCATAATGGCAAATGAAAAATTACCTTTGACTTGGATCATCTTTAGCACGATAACTCCCAATTTCCGCCTTTTCATGTTTCTAAGAGGAAAAAATACATATGATTATCAGCCTCCAATCTGACAGCACCATTCCAGTAATTCAAAATAACTGTACTATTTTAGTGAAAAGACAGGTGTTTTAGAATTTAGAATTATTAATTCAGCTAACAAAGACAAAATCTGACAATCTTGAAGTTATCAATAGAATTCATTTACTTCTCAAGGTATGCATGAAGTAAATTGAACAATGAAATTAAACAAGAAGCTGGCTGAAATATATCTGCAATAGACCCCACAATTTGCTAGGGTTAAGGGGCGCAGGACTCTGTTAAAGTGGAAAAATTGAACAAAAACTGTTAGGCCCAGAAGTGTTTGGAGTTGCAGTTTGGTGAAACACCAGTACTCTTTGGTAGAGAATGCTTAAGACTTTATAAAACTACAATTCCCAGGATTCCATAGCACTGTACCACAATAGTAAAGTGGTACTAAACTGTATTAGTTTTATAGTGTAGCTGCACCTCTGGTCTTACTCATTGACCTTGCACGATTTAAGTCCAATCTACTTTTCAGTATTCTCCACATTCAAACATTAGATTCCTACATTCCTACAATTCAATTAAAAAAATTAAATACATAAGGACTAGAGAAACACAAAAGAAAAAATTGACCAAAAGATATAGAACACCAATTAAATTAGCTCACATAACTAAATCAACCACAAAATTATGTTGGCACGGATGTGAAGGAATTGGCTCCTATATTCATATGTGGTGGGACTATCATAAAGTACAAAAAAATTATAACAAGGTAAAGAAGGAAATAGAAGAATTAACTGCATAAATTGGAGTAAAACAAAAAAGAATTCTTCACTCAGAAATTAGATAGGGAGGACATTAAAGACTGGGCTGAAATTATAAAATATATGGCAGTCGCCACCCAAGCAACTTGTGGCGTTGGGCTGGAAAGAGCACAGAAAGTGGGGTTAAAAATGGTTTGAATATTTAGCAGATTTTATGCTCCAGGATTACATCCTTCAAAGGAGAGCCAAATATACATCAGGCCGAATCAAGAAGAACTGGGATCTGAAGTGGGAAAGATAGAGTAAAAGTAAAATACAAAGAACACTCTCCACAGTTGATTAATTAAAAAAGTGGTTCTCAACCTGTGGCTCCCCAGGTGTTTTGGCCTACAACTCCCAGAAATCACAGCCAAAACATCTGGGGACCCACAGGTTGAGAACTACTGAATTTAAATAATATTCTAACAAATGAAAGTACTGTTCCCAGATAATGGGGGGAGAGGGGGTAGGGAGGGGAGTAATATTGCAGACACATGTGGGAGACAAATGCGGATTTGGCAATGTTAAGAATATTAAGTTAATAATATGCTGTTTGTACTATGAAAGGATTAATGAAGTTGACATTATTCTACTTATGTCTACAAAATAAAAACAAACAAACATTCCTACCTTGTTACCTGAAGGGTTGTCTTTTTTCTCAGATTTCTTGTGTTTTTTTGACATGTTTAAGTTTCAGACCTTGACAAGAAACAAAATATGAGAAATTGATTTCCAATGCATTCATAATAGATTTTTTCTTCTGTCCAACTGAAGGATTATATAAACACCACCTATCTGTATCCAACATGTTCCTCAAATTCATCTCAAACATAGTTCGATTTTTAAAGAGAGTTTGAGGAGGAGAATAAGGAAGAGATAAACTGGTCCCAATCTTCAAGAAGGGAAAAAAGGATGACCCAAACAATTACCATCCGGTGAGCCTCATGTCAATACCAGGCAAGATTCTGGAAAAGATTGTTAAGGAAGTGGTTTGCAAACACTTAGTAACAAATGAGGTCATCGCTAATAGTCAACATGGATTTATCAAAAACAAGTCATGCCAGACTAATCTGATCTCTTTTTTCGATAGAGTTACAAGCTGGATAGACGCGGGGAATGCCATGGATGTAGCGTAGCTAGATTTCAGTAAGGCCTTCGACAAGATTCCCCATGACCTTCTGGCAAACTAACTAGTCCAATGTGGGCTAGGCAAAACTACGGTGAGGTGAATCTGTAATTGTTAAATGGACGAACCCAGAGGGTGCTCACCAATGCTTCCTCTTTATCCTGGAAAGAAGTGACGAGCGGAGTGCCGCAGGGTTCCGTCCTGGGCCCGGTCCTGTTCAACATCTTTATTAATGACTTAGATGAAGGGCTAGAAGGCATGATCATCAAGTTTGCAGACGACACCAAATTGGGAGGGATAGCCAATACTACTAGAGGAACGAGAGACCAGATTGCCAATATCCGCTGGATAATGGAGAAAGGCAGGGAGTTTCAGAAAAATAT